GTATGATATATGAACAATTTTTTTTTACAACAAATCCAAACACAGAACATTACTCAGAGCTGAAATAGGAAACACAATGCCCTAATCATATATACTGTTCCTTCCACTCCCCATTGTTGCTGTTTTTCCTCCAGTGCTGACTACACACTGTAGATCTAACAAAATACTATCATCTATAAATAAAAACTGGTACTATCGTTCTACTGCACAGCCTGATGGGAGAGCGGAGAGGGAGTGTGTGTGATGCTGGGTAAATTGCCAAAGGGCCATTCGAAACTGTGGCAGAGCCTGAATGTTGAGAAAGCAGTGAATGAGTCTTGGGCAAGCAAAAAGACAGAGCCTGACATTAACTCATTAAAGCACGCCTTCCCATTGCTTGAAGGTCAGCTGTAATGACGACTTACATAACCTCTACAAACTGACCTTCCCCCTTCAGAGAGCTGTGTTGTGATATTTGCATGATGTCAACTGTGTGTATTGGGTGGATTGTATTGAGGGAGCAACCATGAACTGCAATAAAGGAACCATAAGAAAATTTAAAAAAGCCTTGTTTCTGACAAATGAGTCTTGTTTTTTGTCTAAAAAGAAAAATAATCTTGTCAAGCATGCAAGAAAAGTAATCTGGTTTTAAGAAAAGATATCTAACTTTGTCTTAATAAGATATTACAGCAAATACTGAGCTAGATTTAACCAGTAACAATGGTTTGCATAACATCCCAGTAGAGGAATAAGATTAAGAGATTTAAGAATAAGACCACTTGCACAACTTCTCAATTTAAGAGAAAGTATTCTTGTCCCAGTGTTGTAAGCAGATTTGTAGTTTTTCATTGTTTTAATAAAAAATGATAAAAATAAGAATGCTTCTGGTGCCTTCATTTAAGAGAAAGTCACCTATTTTTTAATATGCTAAGAATTTAATTAATTATTAATCTTAGATTAAGGTACACATTCTTAAATTTAGCTCAATACAGTGACTAAAATAAACTTATTTTAAGAAATCTTAAATAACTGAGTTTGGCTAAATGTATGCTCAATACAATAACAACAAAAAGTATACTATTAAAGGAATTGTTCTAGAAGTTTTGGGAAATAGGCTTATTCACATTCTTTCTGAGAGTTAATAGATAAGATCAAAACCACACTCATGTCTGTGTGTTAAGTTATCTTGAGCCTGGAGGCAATCAGCCTAGCTTAGCATAAACACTGGAAGCATACTGCCTACAAACACCATGGTAACTGTACACCCTCAAGTGCATTTGTGCAGAATTTTCACTGTTGCAGCTTTTATCCTGTAAATCCAGTGTTTTCTTGCACACAGAACAGCAACAAACCCACTATCAACTTGTGGAAGTAAGGAGATAAACAAAAACAAATGATGCTCTTTTACAAAGAAACTACTGGCAGGTGGTCACAGGTGAGACAAACAACATGCACATTATCTTAAACATTTTCAAATAACTTCCTCCCATATTTTTTGGGTCAAATTGCCCCTGCTAAGGACAGAACATTTCTTGAGCTCCTCGAAATCTGAGATAAACCATAGGAAGGGATAGCCTGCACAGTAACCTGGTGGAAAGCAAGTTAGAGACCACCACTGAGGATTTACTGGCTTCCTCAGCTGGAAGATGTTTAGACAGGATCAGGTCGTTGTGTTGACAGGAGGGGTCAACAGTCAGGGCCACTTAAGGATAGATTATTGACCATTTCTCCATGCGTTCTGGACTAATGGAAGGATCCAAAGCTGTCAAAATATATTTGTGCACAATGCTTAAACACATGAATAACCCATCACAATGAATAATACAAGGAGATGAAGCTATGGACGGACAGTTATATCACAATACAGACTTGCAGCATCAAATACACTTCAAAGAAAAACAGTGAGCTAGAGAGGCCACTCAATAAAAAGACCATTAGGGCTCCTTGCTGTTGCAGACGAATCAGAAACAAGATGGAAACCTAATTAAAACTACATATACAAAGGAAGAGTTAGGCAATTTACAAAATACTCCTGCAGCTGATATGCCCCTATCCTCTTTTTTGCAGACACTGTATACTTGCTCCAGTTCCCTGCATGACTCCCTTATATGGGCTGTTGTCACACTTGCATGCATGTAGAACTGCCACGTTCGTGTGACATGATTTCTCTAATGTTGTCATTTTTACAGCTAGATGCTGTTGATGAAAAGGACTGCGTGTGAGTAAAATATTTCATCCTAAATGATATAGGGAATTTTTATAATATAAAGTGACAAAATCAAAAGGTTTTTGGTAACAAGTCTGATGAACATTGCTCCATTAATAACCTTTAGTATGCCACAATAATTAATCCACCTCTAAAATAATACTCCTGATTAGGTTCCAGGTTTACCAGTGAACAAGTCCTACTCATTCCCTAGCATTTCCTTCACTGGATAAGTGAAACAATGAGGAAAAGCAATTCCAGTGCAGGATTTAGAGCAGCAGCTCATCGCTTTTGTTCTTGATGTAATGTCTTCCTTCTTTACTGAGACAGCCAAGCAAAGGGAAGATTGTGTGCACAATGAGAAACTCAGATGGATGATTCCAGACCAAGTGTAAGTGGAGCTGCAGACGATGGAAGAGGTCCAGGTTTGAGCGGTTGGACTACAGAACCAATGGACAACACTTACAGATACACTGTCACACATGACTAATGGATCGGCTTAATGAGGTTCACATGTCACAGTACAGAATGTGCTTCCGTTATTGCTGTAACTCAGATCAATATTAAAGAGTCTAACATCAACACAGTCACATCTGCAAACATGCTGTGATTAATCAAAAATAAAAACAGTTTATCTGGGATTTTCCAGTAGAGATGGAGGCAAAGGGATTGGCATCATACTGGGTTGTTTGGAGGAAGAGCAGATGAAGGAGGAAAACTCATCTCACGGGTTGAGTGAACAGACGTCACTTCAGGGTAGCATCCTAGCGTTTCCTTCACGGACAGGCTGAGGCAGGATTAGGTTCTGCAGGCAGAGCTGCTGTCCGCTTTTCTAAATCTGCCTGCCAGTTTTTCTATCAATCATTCTGTTCGCTCCAAATGATGTCACATCTGTAGTCATGGTTCGGGCAAGCCTCTGTAACGATGTGATATTGTTTTATCCAAAACATCCTGCAAATAATCACTTGAGAGAAATGCTGGAAATACAATGTGCCAAAGAGAAATTAAGACATGAAAGCAACATGGATACTCAATCCGATAGCAAGGATTATTAGACCTTGAAATGCTTATTATATAAAAACGTGAATGTTTGTGAATAAAAGGGAATTACAATAATATTTATACTTCCAGGACAAGCGTAGGATATATAAAAATAATAAAACCATTAAATAAATGCTTGTAGTTTTGAATGGGCACTCATAGATTGTTAGGGTACATTTAAGTAATTCATAATAAAATAAGTTATTTTAAAGAAACTATTAATAGTAATTTTTTAGTAATAAACAAAATCAAAAAATTCAGTTGTGGACTCAATGTCAAAAACAATTCTGATAAAAGGGAGGGCAGTTCACTAAAGGTAAATGTAACTGTAAATAGGAGCTCTCAAGGCAAGAGAACATTGCAATCATTGGAATTAATTGCAGACCATTGTCGCCAGAACTGTGGGAATGTTTTTTACTCACTGCTACAAGAAACTGATCGGTCTATTCAACTGTCTTGCACTATGACTCATGAGCGACTGAGTAACTGCACATAATATGTGCACTCTAACTTCACAGTACATGCTTATCACTGAGAACTTCCTGCTCACCGATGGCTTTAATTCTGTGATCCTACACTCTTATCAAACACGCAAAAATGAGTGGCCAACTTTAAACAGTTAAAATAGGATCAGTGGGACTTATTACAAGGCCTTGTTATGAACTCTGCACAGTCAGTTTTAATGTTTTTGCATCCTCAAACCATATTGCTAAATAGATTGAAGTATGAAATTCCTCTGCAGAAGTCACAGTAAAGGCACCCCAATGTTCTTTTCTTTCACACATGACTGAATCGGTTCAGTAAAAAAAGGATGGAAAATATTTTTTTGAATAAGGTTTATGACGTGCAATGACTTAAGTAAGGGTTTAAAAAGTTATGTCGGTCTAATGGTGCTGCTACACAGTTTGTTGGACTCGCACAGACACTGGACACATTTTTAAAAAATCATTATTATGGCTCGATTGGTTATGCAATTTCACTGACACATCATCTTACTTAGAGTTTGGAGGATTCAAATTTTGACAATAAGAGATAACAGCATCCAAAAGAAACTTTCAGATATGAATCTTGGCTCAACTTTGTCAAACAAAAAAAGGAAAATGTTATTTTTGGCAAACGTAAGAATAGCGGCAAAAATGAAAATGGTTGAAATTGACCAAATAATTTTTACTTTATTTTTTCAAAACTTGGACCATGATAAAATACATTTGTTGACACATGAAAAGGTTTTACACTATACTGTAATGTAAGTCAGGCTGTTGGTGGGGTTTTTGTTATGACCTCAAAATGTGTTCTAGGAACTGCCAAAAACAATTGCAGATATGAGAAAGACATAAAACAAAGCATACAAAAACAACAGGTTGCCTACTAAACTTTCAGTGTTCTCCATCAAAAAGAATGGAAAAGCACCTGAAGACCTCATTATATCACATGCTGGAGTCCTACATCCCCATCAATTTTGAACGTGTGCGCATGGATTGAAGAGCATGACAGCCATATTGTCGGGACCTCTCCCTGAACTCCAGTTTTCTCTGCAGGCATGTTCACTAACAGCTGAGGCCAGCAGGGGTTCTGCCCTGCTGGCCCAGTCATTAGCTCCTCCACAGCATGCTCCCAAAGCTGTTCTGCTAATGGACGCCAAATAACCCAGCCAATCCCTCCAACGCACACATAAGGAACTCATATTCATACCACAATGGATGCATTAACTCCTTTCTGCCATTCCAACACCTTGCATCCTCATCTGTACAAACAACTCACATTCGTCAACATATGTCATTTCCCCCATTTTATTACAAACACATTATTCTATTTCCAACAGGGACAACAAATAGTAGAAAACACAACACAACCTTTTTAACAATAGAAAAAGTAATAATGTAAATTTATCATAACTAATAAATACAGTTCATGTTACTTGGGGAGGGGGGTGGGTGGGGTTAAGTTGCTGTGAATTATACTGTGTGTGCTGAAATGTAAGTTATTTCCATGTTGTACTGTCTACAGACTGGAAGGGATTAAGAGCTACACAGTAGTGTCCTTAACTACAGAGTTATTGCTCCTGTAACAGTTGCATTTCATTGAATACAAGTCTGACATAACTGGTACAACCTCACACTTCATTGTCATACACACGAGTAAAGGTACTGCATTCAGTATGTATGAATAGGATAATCTGTTAAGACTTCTGCCATGTACAATGTAATTACAACTAGAAATTTCCAAATATCCCTACAAGTGACAGTTAACATAGATTATCACAGTAAATACGGTTCTATTCAAAACCTTCACAAAAATCCACATTACACCAGCATTTTTATGGTATAAAAATAAGTTAAAAATCTGCATAAATATTTTACACAAAACAGTTATAAAATATGTTGTATTTTCTGACAAGGTTACACAAAACTTTTTTTTTTTTTTACACCACTGAGTATTAAGCATATTTTCAGTTTGGTGCTTGTTAAAAAAAAACATTCATTTTAGTTTTTGATGAACACAAACTTTTTTTAAATGATTTGTCCCATTTTACGTAACACTTGGCTACAGTCATTTCAGATATACAAAATTGAAGAGGGAGAACAGCAGAACTGCAGCATAGCCAAGTTTCACTTCCTTTTATTGCCACTTCATTCCCCCTGTTCAGTGTTCAGCAGAGATGGATGAAGAGCGTCGCGTCCCATCCCATATAGATAAACCTGCTACGAACAAGCTTTTCCCCTTAAGTATCGAGTCCACAGTTGACTCCTTACAGGCTGAGCACAAAGACAGAGAGAGACAGAGAGAAGGAGAGAATGAGTTGTTCTTAGTGTGTCATGAAAGAGATTACAGTTTGAGAAATGGGCTTCATCCTGGATGTTCAGACATTGAGCTGACTTCCTTTGCAGACACACTACAATGTGTATTTTAGAGCTTTTGCTACACTGAGCTACTGAGGTCAATTAATGGAATAATGAACAACATCCAAATATGACCTCATGTTCGAGTGAGACTAAGGAATGCCAAGGGTCGTGGCTCCAAAATGGCCAGTTTCCCAATTAACTGGCTTCACGGTACATAGGAACTGTGAAACTGTGGCTGATAAGTAATCATCTACTATGATGTTTAACCACAGGAGAGCCAGAGCCACGGGTAACACTGCACATGCACAAACATTACCATACCATCAAGGCATCAGCGTGTTTGATCTCCATTAAAGCAAAAAGAATACGGACATTTGTGTGTCTATATGTACAGTATAGACATGTGGCAGTTGAAGAACAAGGTGGCATATATGTGCTGTCTGCAGACACACACCAACATTACAGTGAATATTAAAAGCAGAGCAAGGATGTTGATAAAATATACTCATCAGCTACCTACCCTTTCTGTACATCTGTAAATACACCATTGCTGCTAAAGACTGTGGCAATATTACCCTTATTACAAATACACTAAACAATTAAATTCTAAACTAAAATTAAGAATAAAAGATTAAAATAACTGAGATACATGTGTGCATGAATACATGTAAACAATTCAAATAGAATATTTGCTAACATTAGACCTATTCCACTCTTATATACTTGCAGTGTGTATGTGTGGCTCCAATACAGTGTAATATGATTACACAATACAGTATGTGAGGTTCTGTTTATGTGAACCATTGTTTAATGTGTTGAAAAATAGCAGGTCAAATAACTTGTCTGCACATATTGTAATTGATTAACATGATTCCAATTGTTGGCTGTGATCCACTATAGAACTGTGTTTCAGCCAAACACAAACCATAGTACTGTATATATATATTTAAGTGTATATCAATATATCTGATCTATATCTAACACATGCACACATGCTGAACTGTTTCAGCTTACCTTCGCTTCAACCGCTTCTGAGGAAGTGCTCTGAAAAGACATAAAAAGTATGTGAGGCCATTGTGTAATATATTTTATACAATGTGATCATGTGTTTGAGTTGATTTAAGTCCAGTATGACTTGTGACAAAATGCAAGAACCTCAACAATGTTGGAATAATGTAATCCTAGATTGCCACTACGTCAGTCTCTTTCTGCGGATCCCATTCACATGTACAAGGGTTCAAACAACCTACTATATTTACTGCCACAGGCACCAACCACCTCATTTGTTTGAGGATTTCATGCATTAGGACAACCTTGACATAAACTGGCTGAGTGCTGACGGTTATATTCAACTATGAAACCAGAGTCCAGCAGCAGCCCCTGCAGTTACTGAGCCTTCAGGTCTAATTAAAATCAGCCAGCCTGTGTGCTGATCAGCACACTTGTGAGCCATATATCTCCGGTAAGATGACCACTCTGTTATTTTAGGCACATTGTTCCTCTTTCAGGATGCATTTTCAGCCTTTTATGGTGTACCATAAAGCTAATCTTATTTTTTTCATCTCAGTGATGAGTGTACTAAGTCTGGCAGAGCTGCACAGGGTTCAAATAATATCATAGCTAATGTTTAGTGGAATGTGGTGCAGTTGAAGACAGAGAAAACACAGGCTGTAGTGTTACATTAGTACAGAAGCAAGAAATTATTTTTCCTGATTTACAATCTCTAACTGTGATCATTTCTATTTTAAAGAACAAAGTCATTTTGACTGCATCACTTCCTCAAATAAAACATGTTATTACATCAATCAGCTGTAAAGGGTATGGTTGTATCTCCATTATGAGAAACATCTTTAATATATAAATAGCAAGCCTCTTCATTACCACAGTTTGTGATTTCTGACACGATACAGTATGTGAGGTTCTGTTACTTTATGTCCAGTATCCAGTTTAAATTCTGTATTGTTCATTGTTTAATCATATCTTGTTACTGCTGATCACTGACACTGTTGTACAGTGTACAATGTTTGCATCATTATTACACACACGCACACATACATACACACAAAATGTGTTTTCTCTGTACTTTTTTAATTGTTGTCAGGAATTGGTGCCACCTGGTGGAACAAAGTGTTATGGATGCTGCACACACAAATACAGAAACACACACTTACTCACACAAGTGTGGATAGCAGAGCAAATGCTTTTATTATGGAACTTAAAGGTCCAGTGTGTAACATTTGGGAGGATCTATTGGCAGAAATTCATCAATTTCATTAGTGTATAATCACCTGAAAATGAATAATCATTACCTTAGAATGAGCCTTTTATATCTACAGATGTCACACACTGACTCTAGATGGGGGCGTTTGCGTACTTCGTGGCAACTGTAGTTTCTCCTACACACCTGCAAGAGGGAAGGTGAAGTGACGGAGTTGCAATCTGCAACTACCACGCTAGATGCCACTAAATTCTACACACTGGTCCTTTCAAATTTTTCACACAATGAATCCCATTGAGGATTAGATCATATTTACACATGGGCAACATGTGTTTGGGTCTAAGACAAAAAGGATCTGCAGCAGCATGTGTATGTGCACAAAGAGGCTCATCACACACAACACAAACAGGGTTTACGGTAGGAAGAGATGTAAAGACGCCGTTACACGTCTGTTTAAACAGGAGTTTAGCCGACTTTGCTGCATTTACAAACACTGGAGCTGAGACCGCCAGTCAGAAACACAGTTGTTCTGCGTTGTACTGTCCTCCGTTTTCATCATCCCTCTTTTTCATCCCTCAGTTTTATGCAGGTATGTATCTACTGTTTGTGTTTTATTGCTGTTTAAGTGTTATATGGCTATTTAAAACATATGCCTGGTCATTGTCCCAAATGGCTGAAATATTGGAATATAATAAAAAAAACAGTCTAACCACTGTAAATACTGACCACACAGACACACTCACTCACCTATAGATGTTTGGGTCTAGCAGCATGGCTGTGTCCTGCGGTAACTGGGACAAGTGCACCACTTTAGTCTTCAGCTGAGACCGCTCCGTTTCATTCACCCACACATCAGGTAGTCTGCAAGACACACACACACACAGGACATGTGGTCAGGGTTTAAGCTCTAACAAGAAAGAGGGTGAGTAAAGGGGGGATCAAGAGGGAGTAAGGTTGAACGGAGCGAGGTGAGAGAGACGCACAAAGAGCCTCATTGAGTCCAGCACACACGTTAACACCTTCCTCTGAACACTGAGTACATTTCCATGAGTAACATGGCCTTGACCAAAGCACCGGGATGGACAAACACGTACATGGGTGCGCAGGTCTGTGCATACACATACAAACAGAGGACAAAGCATACTGTCTTTATGATTAGCTTTTGTTAACCGGTGCACTTAACTCAAATTACTGTATGTGTATGTAATGTATTTATGCATGTAGTACGTAGCTGTATGTGTGCGTGCTTGTGAGTGTGTTTTTGTGCATTTAAAACAATGTGAAAGTAGCTTGAAGTACAGATGCACCATAAAATCTGAACAACCCCGATTGTTTCACCTCTTTAAGCTCGAGGGTAGGGGGTTGGTGTCTTTAAGATTAACAGGCACGGACACACAAACACACACACGCATACGATGTACTGTACAGCTCAGCTGCACCGTACTGTACCCACAGCAGAACGATCCCCCTGTGAAAGAAGGGTTAGCAGGCACTGGCGTGGCAAGTCGAGGTGGAGAGGAAACAAAGAGCTTAGCGAGTCCCCCCCACTCCCCTCCTCGTGTCCACCCCCAGCATTCCCCCCGTCACTATGTGCGTCATCACAGGAGCCCCAAGAGATGCAGACATACACACACACAGACACACACTCACTGCAGGCGGCAGTTAGGCAAGCAGGCAGCCACCCAGCCAAATCATTCATTCACATGCCTGGCCAACCCATTCAGTGGGATGGTGTGCAGGTAGCAATTCACATGCAGAACACTCAGCGCTACTGGGTGCAGGTAGAGAAGGAACAAAATAACAAAAGAGTGAAAGAAAACTGACAAGTTAAGAATAGGAAAAGACAGAGGGAAAGGGAAAGTGGAGAAGGAGGGGTAAAAAAGTAAAGTGGCTGATGTAAATGTACAACAACTCGCTTAAACAGAGGATGCAAATCCTTTTATGGCATGTTTAAGTGCCTGGAAGGGCTAGCCACATAGGATAAGTACAGTAGTAGTGCCACAGTAGTGTACAAATATCCCACCTGTAATGCTGCATTAAACAAAATCCTTCAAGTTATCATTGTTTTACAAACAACCATTTGTAATTACTCTTTGACCTAAGCTTGAATAGATGTTTATCAGTATCATAGATGGGCATTTCTGTCTGTCTGTGCCCTTTTAATGAATACATACGCACGGACAGACACAGATCAGAAATAATTTGATTTCAACAAGAATGTGCACACATACAACGCATGTGTCTCTCCATTCATGACATGAAGTCAAAGCCCAGCTCACCCTTTAGCTTAAGAAACTGACAGCTGTCATAAAAAAGAAAGCTGGAATATCGAATCCAAATTAATTTTACATGTAGTGCGCTTTAATTAATATATCAAGGAAAAACAACATACTAAATATTTTAATAAAAAGCTAAATGTTTTCAAAATGGTTTCAGGTCAAGTTTCTCTTTTTTGATTCTGTAATGCATGGCAAAAGTGTGTCTATACCCTTTAATGGTGGGAAGAGAGAAAGAGGAAGTTGAGAAGAGGCAGGGACAAGACATGACACAGGCCCCTTCAAAGCAGCTTTAAAGTTTGGGTTAGTCTTGAATTAATGTCCTGGTGCAAAGCAAACCTCAAATGACAGAGGAGGACCTGCTGAGTGTTAAATATGCAGTAAACACCCATGTGTGTTTGTATGCTCCATTTCAGAGTCACCGTAAACATGTCAGAGTGAGTGTGCTGTGGTACTGATGAGTGATTATATTCTGATGGATGTGAGGCACACAGGAGGGCTTGACTGGAAGGGTCAGCATGTCACACATATCACACATACACCGAAGTGTTCATATCACTCCTCCACATGCACACACACAAAAAACAGATTTTCAAAGACATCTCCACCCAAAGACTCCATTCAGTCACACCAAGCCAAATAAAGACAAATGGATTTATTTTATTTTCCAGAGGAGACTGTTATTTGGCTTGCTTCTTTATGAGCCAGAAATGTATACTGTGAGTGAGGCCTCTGTAGGGAGAGCTACTGGGGGTGCCTGCCAGAGTGAAGCCCGGTCTTCCAGGCTAGATTGATGACTGCCTCCAAGCCTTGAAGCTCCCAGTGGTGACAGGAGCAACAAGTTCATCACAAAGCAGCAAAGCATATATTAAAACGCACACATTACACACACACATTAAATGGCATTATAGCAAGAATGGCTGCAGGAGTTCAATGTCCTTATAAACTCTATCGTCCTGCAAACCAGAGGACCGCACGCTCACAGAGTTGGACTGCGGAGGACACTGCAGCCTAAAGAAAAACCTTGTCTGGCAAAATAATGGAAATGCATGACTTCAGTACAATTACAGTACAGACAATTGCTTACTGTTGTGATATATGCCTTATAGATGGTGCAGTTTATTCAAAATATTTCTTAAGCACTTAGAAAAATGTATAACGTGGATTACAATGCTAATTCTTATGGAGCCATATTAGTAAATTGGGTTTACATTTAAATCTTCCACACAGACTTATCAACGAATTTAGATGCATGCACATAACAGCCCGTAGTTATGTGCATGCATCTAAATGGGCACATAGTTAAGGCAGGCAAGTATATTTGCTTCACTCACCAGCTACAAAAACAATGAGTGGCTGGTAAAATCTATTGAGTGGCTGTGGTAAAATATGAACATTCACTATCCATTTTGTACTACACTGTATGCATTACATTTCAAAGAATACTGATATTGTTTTTTTTTCCCAGGTGGGCATTTAGTTAGGTGGCTAAAATACATTTTCTTCCTGCCCCCAGCCACAGCAGTGCATTGCTTAGCTTCTCTGCCAGTACTCCTTTCTGCTTCTCCAAACTGGGGGTGTGTCAAGGTTCCCCCTGGTTTTATCTCTGCAGCCTTGGGATGAAAATCTGATTATGTGTCTGTTGGGTTGTTTTTTTTATTTTATAGCTTCAGTACTTCCGATACTAACACATGTAAAATAAACAGAGATCAAACACTTTAAACACATGCTATTGAAAATGTATCAAAGTATTTTAACAACACTAGATCAAATTAGTGGTTTGTCTGTTGTTATATAACACATTTATAAACTGCACTGAAGTGCTTCTTGCAGGTCTGTTTCTTTTATTTCCTACCCTATAGATCAGATATATAACCTTTTATGGTGCAGAACAAAATGACACTTCCTACATTTGCAATATCACACCCAGAAAGCAATTAAGCAAGCACAAATTGGCCATATACATTCATGAGAGCCCTATTAGCTTGTGATACTCTTTGGAAACTGCCTGAATATAAACAAAGCCATGACAAAACTAGCTAACAAAGGCTTAAAAGATAAACCCATATCATGATAACATGCTGTTTGTCCAAAATGATGTCCCAGGATGCATCCAGTGGCTCAAGGCGTTAACTGTCAAGGACTGTGTATTCTACAGTTGTTCTAAAGCGTTCAACAGCATTCAGGGGAATCCACTTACCCATCCATCAAAGATTAGACTGCAATTATGGTTCTCTCTATCACTCAGCCTACCCACCCCCCTCTACCTCCTTAGTGAGCCGCTGGTGGTTCATGTTCAGAATGGTTCATGTTAATCAGTTACTCATTAATCCAAATTGAGTTAATGAGTGGCAGTCAGGACATGAATGGTTTGCTCCAGCATTAATAAACATGACTTCCCCACATTCACACAGCTAATCATTGACTCAGTGACTGAAACACATAAACACAGACACACACAGTATTGCACTTGATGTTGACCTTGGTGCTGAGTGTTGACTCTTGATGGTGGTCTAAATGACCACCAGATTGCTGCTCTATCCAGCAACACCACCAAAGTTACCTGAAATAGCATTATATTTGTCAAACACATTGGTTAGTCCTCATCCAAAAAGCCTTTTCTCTTGTATTAAAACAAAAAAACAACAACATAATGTTTAAAAATACAAACAAGTATATAAGTTAAGCAACCAAACAGGGTTACGTTAGAAGAAATTTTCTTTTTTACCCCTTATCATGCTGCATCTATGACTTTCCTGTGGATCATGGGCTAGTGAGGATGCTGACATTTTTCCTGAGTCATGTCTTTTAGTGTCATATCATGTATGTAGCTGCCAAGGGCCTATAGATTTTTGTTTTAAAAAGGAGTCAACTGGAAATTAAAAAAAAAAAAAAAACTGAGCTGAGGCAAAGTTTTCAACCAACCCATGGAGCTTATGTTGCCTTAATTAACTAGCTAGCTACAGCTAATAAAATCTGTCAGCTACAACTATCATTTCAGCTGGCAAAGTGGATGGTTGATGACTAAAGAGGAAAAGCTTCTGTTGTCTTCTTCTGTCTAAAAGCAGTGATCCACTGTTTAAAAAAAAAAAAAAAAAAAACTTCAGGGATTTGAGTGGCAAATCTTTTATCATTGTAAACTGCATATGCGCCCTGTGAGAATGGAAAGCGTGACAGGTCATGGTCACGTTTTATCTGCTGGGAGATAATACAGCCATCCTCACAGTTAGGATATCACTGTGTATTTCTTTCACCATCCCGCTATGGATTGGTTATGTGTATTAATGACCAGAGCACTTGCTTGCTGCAGGGCAAATATGACTCAGCAGCATCACTGATTTCTCTTGCATGGATGGAGCCAAAAGGCATCTCACTCTTGTTGACTATCTTCCTGTTAAATTCTCTCCCTATGATTCACTCTGCCTGCTTCCTTTCTACCTCTTCACATTTCTCTCTCCCACAAACATTTTGTTCCCACTCCCCATGTCTCACTTTCCTCCACTCTGTCTCCTCCATTCTTTCCCTCATCCATTCTGCCTCTATCAGTCTTTAAGTCTCAGTATCAATCTCCATCTGTGTCTCAGTTTGGAATTAATCTGAGGAGTCTTTCCTGATCACCAAACTTCATCTTTCTCTTCTTCCCACTTTACCTCATTATTTCTCTCTGCACAAGATTAAACCCCCGCATGCGGGCTGAGGAGGAAATAGCAGAGGTGGATCAGGGAGGGGAATGGGAAAGAAGAAGAGGAAGGATGGGAGAATGAAACCGCAGAACGCTGAGAGAACAAGCGTTTTGCAACAGTATGTTCATTGGAAGCTGTCAGCTGCAATCTACTTCATCACGCATCATCTGGGTTTTCTTAGTTTGCCCAGTGCCATCTTTGCTCTTCTTTTCGCCAATACCCATTTTTCTCTTTGTTTTCCAACCTCTTCTTTGTCTCTTCTGGCCTTCTTCTTGTTTCCTCCTTTCCCCTCATCATCCTCCTCTCTCTTTATTCACACCCCCCCCTTCTGCTCACTTCTTATAATGTCCCTCCTCATTCACCATCTTTCCTCCAGTCTTGCATTCTTTCTCTCTCTGCTCTCTGATCATCCTCAGAAGCTGTGCAGTCAAACCCTTTAATGGGAGTGTTGGAAATGTGGTGGGAGCTTCCCCTGAGCAAGTGCCCTGCTGAATATCACAGTGTTCTGTGAAGCTCTTTCTCTCTGTGACAAACCCATTTCATCAACGCAATGCCGGACATGGCTGCCCTTCTGCCCAATTGCTTAAATGAGCTGGGGCTTAAGTGGTGCCAAGGTTCACCTCAAGTGGGCTGGTGAAGCTAAGCTGGTAATAGGTATGCAGCTAGTGAGGGCTGGGCGGAGCAGCTCATGCCCCAATGGGCTGAGCATGATTTTCAGTTCAAGTTCATCCAGAGGTTACAGCATATGATACTGCAATGGAATTAAACCTGGATTTTTTTTAAAAATGTATCGCAGAGCGACAAAAAGAAAAAAAAAAAAAAAAAAATCAGCCTCCAAGTAATTTTGGATGCTGATCCACTGTTTAAAAGACACTTCAGTGGACCAATTCAAGGTTTATCCGAGTAAGACCAAGCCAAGCAGATGGTATAGAACCAGCGCCAGATCCAGAGAAGAACAGAGAAAGATTTTCTAATAGCCAAGTCCAGTCTTCTCCAGGCATGAATGCTGGTATCATAACACTGCGTGAGGATACTGGCTGATAGTCATGGCCGATGTAATCAGCTCCCTTTGAGGAGAGCCCTGGGGTGTCAAGCAAGGTGCTAGTGTGATATGGGCTATAAGGGGGGCTGGGCTCCTTACACTGAGAGCTCTCCACAACAAATATTGGATTAGCCAAGAGAAGAGATTGGGAACATTTATAGCAGGTCTTGGTTTAAAGAAAGTGCACAACTGGGTGGAAAGGAGAATTGTAAAACTATAAGAGAGAAACATAAACATTGTTGATGTTCACTTGTACATGCATGAACCCCTGCTGCTCAAAAAAGGAAATGTTTGTGTGACAGAGCCAGGCTTTACATGGAAAGCATGTACAGGAGATTTGTTGATGTGATGTTCAGTTGCTTGTATGGTTTTAAAGGTTATCTACAAATCTTGTCGTTTATGGATACATATATGTCATGCTACACACCTGTTACGTACAAGTGCATACTGAACAGAATTTAAATCTACCATAACCAGTTCCCCAACAGGAATAAGGCTACAATGAATAACTTTGGCAGGTTACAGTATGTCATTTGGCTAGTTGACAGTTAAGTATCAAACAGCTACAAAGATTTCCAATGCAAAGTCCAGATGTTTCTATTCTTTTGGTCACTCAGAGAAATAATGATAGACTAATTAAAACAATTATAATTTGATCTTGAACTTATTCTAAAAAACTAGTCTAGATTCTAAAACTATCTTAACCATTATTTTTGAAATATTTGCAACATACATAACAATCACGAGGGAATTTGCAAGGTGGACAGTAAAGGATGAAATGGATGAATGGGAGTAGTTAAGATAAACTTTAACTCACATGTCCTCAGGTGTCCAATGTAGGAGGACCTTCACCTTGCCAGACCCCTCTTTCCTTCTGGCTAGCACCTGCACAGAGAAAATCAAACAAAACACATACAAGCTGAGTCATGAAAGACGCAAAGGTGTTAAGAACCTAAGAAGATGACTACTCCCGTCTTCTCATTGTCACTTTACTTAGTTTGTCTCTGCCATACTGTTCACATTTGGTATGCACATAGTAATGTAACCTGTAAGCAGCTTCACCAATGAAAAGTAACCAAAAATTGACATAGGCATATAATTTAACCTACATATTACGGTTAATTTAAAATTTCAAGACATTTTACGGGATTGGCATAAATGTGTTGGGCTTGGCTCTTATTGCAGCATTCTCTCTCATCTGTTGAGAACAGGCTTCAAAGACATGCCCCCATCCTGGCCTCATCTCTAATGAATAATGAGACTACATGCTTCAAACATCTCACCAAGTGATACAGTGGCTGATCATTACACTAAGCAATGTGAGCACTCTTAATAATGCATGCAAGAGCTCAGTGAGACTTCTATTTTCAACTGGATCTATCCAACATTCCCCTGCAACATACTGTAAGCGAGGAATTCAAATCCAGACAAAAGTTAGATCTCCTCCTATGTCTGGACTTAACTGAGAACTGCCTATCGCAGCTGACATTCTCGAGAGCCAAGAAGATAGACATGAGGTACACACTGAGCCGTTAACATAAATAAGTCACTGCTCTTGTTGTGGATTATGTCAGCACCAGACACTTCAAGGCTTTAGACATGTCTGGTGAGAGACTAGGACCTCACTTTCTAATGTTTTCAATAACACTGCAAGTTGTGTTCATTTTATCTTTTACTGTTTTGTCGCGTGGTTTAACTAGTCAAGACTTAATCTGCCAACACAACCTCAAACTTCAAGGCCTTTCTTCTTGTGAAAATAGAGTTGAGACAATACCAGATTTCCTGAATAGTTGGCCCCTTATATGCATAACATTTCATCTATCATGCTGTGTTGGTTTATAGTAAAACTGGTCTGGAATTCACACAAATATTGTCAGTAGGGAAAAGAAAAGCTAGAAAAATAACCAGGAGTGTCAAAAATAGCCTCAGATATAACCTCTTGCGTCAATTGGCTCTTTTTTGTTAGGAATGTCTATTTTTAGGATACAGAATGAGCTCACATGTGAAGAACTTCTCTTACGCACATGAATATCTGAAATTATTTTTGTGACTCTAGGGACTGGCTGCGGCATTGATGGAAACTGGTTTGAGGACAGGAGGGGGAAGGATCCACTGAGACAAGAGATAGACAGGAGATAGAGACCTAGAATAACTCAACTCCTCATCTTACAGCTTTCTCTTGACCTCCCACTTATGAGCCAAAACATGTATTAATTTCTTTAAATGTAACTTCCTCAAACAGTTTTATATATCTCACTGATCTGACAATTGCATCCCACAGATCCATGTTCTTGTCCTCTGTTTAGCTCAAAGCTAAAACTTGTATGTTATTGGTTTCTTTCTGCACTTTCTCTAAGCTAGTATGTTGAAAAATACCCCCTCCCATTTTGCTATAAATTCAGGAGGGGCAAGAAGAAGTTTGCAAATTTATATTTATATTTTGATAAGCGTCCAGATGTTGAGCTCTCTGGCAGAAGTTTTAAGGAAAGCAAATGGGACACCAGCATATTTAGTTTGATAAACTTTTTGGAAGAAATATTTACGCTCAGTTAACAGATATGAATTTTGTTGTTGCTGGCTCTGTGCCTTAATATTTGTCTGCGAGAAGCTTTGCAAATAGCAGCCAAGTTGGCAAATCAACCATGTTGTTGCCTTTTGTCAGTAATACAGTGTTCAGGTGTAAAACTCCTTAGAGTGGAGAAGAGAACAAGTAGGCAGGTAAAAGCAGAAGGAACAGCATGAGTGATAAGAAAAATGACTTGAGCATCTCGTGCTTTAACATAAATACTGTGGTGTGAAATCCAAACCCTGCCTATCACCTATAAAACAAATATGTGTACTACAGTCTGACTTTGTAAGGGGCAAAACAGTAGAGATTTTGGCATCCGTTTCCCTGTGAGTGAATCATAGAAAGGCCGGGACAGAGTGATACATGGAGTACTTGTTGTAGGGGTGTCCTGCTGGCCCAGCGCTCTCTGACAGGTTACTCTGCACTCTGTCTGATTTACAGCATTAATATATCAGCAAACAACAATTTTCTATGTAAAGATATAGTGGAGTCATGGTTACTGAGAATGATGTCACACTTTGCCTGTGTCGCTATCGCAGCCGCAACTGCAGCATTAGCCTGAATCCTGTGCTGGCTGCAATGAGCCCTACAATAAGTGTCTCAAGCCTTACAGCTAAGACAGCAGCTGCTTTACTGCCCTTTTAATTAAATGTGCATAGCTGTTAACCTGTGCCCTCAGGCTCCTCACAGCACCAGGTTAATAATCACAAGCCCAGGCTACACTCAAAGAGGCCATGACCATGTATGTAAAGGCTGAAGATGAAGAAGTGGCCTCGTGTTTAAGCAGCATGAAGTGATTTGTGAGCAGAGTGGTTTGATGATGGAAGTTGGTCCTTTAAGGGACAGATCTTAATCCTCTATAGAGCATGAGAGGGAGGTAATAGAGAGAGGGAGGTAATAGAGGGAGGGAGGGAGGGAGGAGAGAGAGAGAGAGAGAGAGAGAGAGAGAGAGAGAGAGAGAGAGAGAGAGAGAGAGAGAGAGAGAGAGAGAGAGAGAGAGAGAGAGAGAGAGAGAGAAGGAGGAAATAGGGAGTGAACAGTGGATATTAGTGTGGCTCCAAAACAAGGCAGTGAAAACTGCAGGACCAAAACCGGGGGAGGGCAGGACTGCTAAAACTGGGTGCCTGTCTAGTGTCAGGGGGTCAAGCAGTGGATGACGCAGATTGGCGCAATAACAAAAATATCCCATCATAAACATGACTGAGTTGCTCTGGCGTGTCAGCAGGCTCACTGGCCAAACTCCACATAACCCCCACAGCTCTGCTCCATCTCCCCAGGCCTGGGAGGGCCTGGGGTCTGATGTAGCACCGCAGTCCTTCTCCACCACAATCCTCCAGGGGCTCGAGAGAAGGAGAATGTATGCCCAACTGGCCAGATCTCCTTCCGATTCCATGACCCTGACCTTCACTTAACCCCCTTTCCTTGTCCTTTCTCTCCAAGTCTGTTTCTCTCCATTTGTTACTCTCCCTCCCCTGGCTGGCTCTTCCTCCTTCTCAGTCTGTGTCCAAATATGCGGTTACCTCTCTTAACCTCTTCCCAAGCTTTATCTTCACTTTTTTTTTTCTTGAGCTTTTCTTTTAAAATTCTTGGCTGCTGGTGGGAAGTTGAGGTTTGTAGGAGCGGAGCAGAAAAGAGTTGAAAGAGACTGAGCTATAGCAGAACAATACTGTAGTGAGGATAGCACAGAATGTCAACACTTTAAAACGAACAAAAGCATTAATAATGAGTTTGTCTATATAATTGCACTCAACACTACATTTTTAGTGTTTGCATAGAGAAAACGTATAAATGCATTAGGAATATGTATAACCTGCAGGTCTATTATATATACTTGTGTGACCCAGCATGGGTGTTGTGGGCACTACATATACACACCTTCAAATTTAAACTTCCTGATTGGACTCTTTGATCTCTATTGTCGGTCTGTGAGTAAAGCTAAAACTACTCAGCCTTCAGTATTACTTTAGTTTACTGACTTTGAGGGGAATCATATTGTGATAATATGATGTTTTTGTAATCAAACTATAACAGGTTATAATAGGTTATTAGTAATATTAGTTTATTTTACACAAATTGAATGCAGAACAGTGAAATCTACTTTTTTAATGTGATTTTGCATAAATCTGTCATATTGATATCAGAAAATAATTAATAATTATCATAATTTCAACAATATTGCCCATATCTTTAAAATACCCTTCTACCTGTGTGTATCCAAGTGCTTTAAATCACACGTGAGAGACGTTTTCACTTCTCTCTTACAGGAGAAAATGTAGATTCCTCTCCTGAGTGCACTAATTGTTTCTGCTAGGTTAGCCATGCTACAGTAGCACAGCAGATTAAATGTGTAATTTAAATATATGCGTTAAGTTATTTTTTTTTCTCTGCACAGTGCAAGAAACAGAAAATACAGGCCACATTTCTGCCCTAATGTACCCACTTAATCACTGTCACTGACAAAAGAATACGTTTCTATATTGAAATAAAAGACTGTTTTGAGAAACACGTGCGTGTGGATTGAGTGTGTTTGTAGATGTACAGTATGTGAAAGTAGGGAGGAATGAGGAAGCAGACGATGCCCCTTTTTTTCCACCGTCAATCAATGAGGGTCTTGAACAGGAGACAGAGTGCTCCCTAGTGGAACTGCACAAGAAAAGCAGTCACCCAAAAATAAATCTGCCTTTCACACCCCTTCACATGATTACACTTTGCCTTCCTTAATACAGAATTCTTACATTCTTTGAAGCTGTTGTCAGAATCTTTCACTGGATAATTTGTTTTCCTGTGAGTGCTCACATTTGCCCTCAATAGTAAGGTGCAAAGGCATTTTAGAGCTCATTAATAATGTATTACGCACTGGGCTCGGAGTGGACCGAGAGCCGTACACAAAAACAATCCAATTGTCTTTCCTGTGAAGCCTGATTCAGAGAAAAACAACATCAAGCCTTGGGGCGATTGCAAGGTTCATTTCAAGTGCACAGACAAAAAAATCTGCAGTGAGAGGAGGCTGATTTTCAAAAAGTGATTATTTTATGCCCCCTGTTGTCCAAAAAGAAAATAACAAAAAATAAAAATATATTTTTTTTAATTCAAAGGGAGGTTGCACAAGTGTGAAAACAATCATGTATGTTAAATGACTACACATATTGTTTTTTTTCTATCCATAAAACAGATTTAGGCATGAAATAAAATAAGTATCAACAATAACCTTTATCTATTTTCAACAATCTCTTTATAGAGATCTGTTGATGCTTTTTCTGCCTGCTGAATATATCAGTGTCAGTGTTTGTGGAACGCAGGATAGCTACTGCTATAATATGCCTATTACCCATACCTGTCAATATATAGATATAGAGATTAAAATTGGTTTAGTATGTAATTTCCTCTGAATGAATGCAGAATCCTCACAATCCTGTAATGTGGAGTGCATCTGAAACATTCTAAAAAAAAAAAAATGCGACTGCATCCTTCCAACCCTTCTCCATCCCCTTAGCTACTCCTTGTGTTTAAACCAATTACAATGGAGACAGGTAGCCAGAGGCAAACACTACCAGGCCTAGAAAAGCAGTCAAGCTGCATACAGACTCACCGTGCTGTGAAAGACCACACTGTGGCCATTGCCCACACTTTCAATGTGGGTGGTGAGGTTGAGACAGATGGCCCTGTGGCGAATAGCATCCATGGTTTGGGCATCGAAGAAGTCATGGGGCCTCGCTGAAGGGGGAGAAGGACAGACTCAGATGAGAGCAGAGTCAAACAAACATAAGACCAGGGTTCCCACTGTGGCCCCCGTTATATAAAAATTCCATGGCTTTACCATGTCTTTCTGTAACTAACCATAACTACGTCAGAAGCATCTCATCACTGAAAAATGCTATTCCTTTGTGGTTTTTAAATGTTGCTTTGCAGAAACAAAAAAGTTCAGATGTGTAACAAAAGAGGAACAACTTTCCATTGAAGGCTGTAGTAATGAGATTCTTATGGTTTAGTTGCTCTGAATAACTGCTTCACTGCACATATTCAGTGGTAAGGATACTCAGACCTCATGACATTTCAATTTATTAGAAAATACATTTATTCTGGATTTTGGGCGGAGGTCTTTGCAAAGCACTTTGTAGAAAAAGGTATAAAATTAAAACAGTAGAGAAAAGGCAAATTCCTTGTATGCGTAAAAACTTACCAGCCAGTAAACCCAATTCTGATTCTGATTCTAAACACTCTTTGTTTGCTTTGATTGGGCTTAACAACCAAACTAGCACACTGTCACTTAGCTCTCGTTTCTTATGTTTGTTTTGGAGTGTTCAAGCTAGGTAACCCCTGATAGCTCTCCTGGTAGAGATGGCACACCATGTACTGAAACCTGTGGGCCTTTGCTGCGTGTCGTTCCCTCTCTCTTTCTTCCCCTTTCCTGTCACTCTTCAGCTGTCACTATTGGTTAAAGGCAAAATAAAATTTAATAAATAACTAAATACATGCTTGCAACAGGAAGTGGTTAAGGCAAGAATATTAAACTCAAGACAGCCACTGGTTAACAGCCAGTTCACTACAGTGTGATACAACTTGCAGAGAATATATATTCTTCATACATTTTCATGTTTTTAGTTTTTTTGTGAAAGTTATATTATGGTCATTCTATAATGGAGTGGCAACCTAAGACCGTTCTGAATTTTTTTTTTTGTTTAAGGCAAGAAAGATCTTGTTCTAAACTGTATTACCATTGGTTTACTTTGATGGATCATTGCCTTAGACAAGATTTTACAGTTGTTCCGACACCAATATGGGAATTCCTACAATCCTGCCTAAAATGCGTTATTGGGTATCGGCAAGTATGCGTTTCTGTGACCTGATCCGATACCATGTTATTTACTATCCCCGAATCGGGACCCTGTGACGTCCCAGCAGTGTCCTGTTCGCCATTTTTCCCTATATACTAATGGACATTTAGGAGGTAAAACTAAAACACTTGCTTGGGAAAACAGTTGGCAGTAACTTCCATTTTACACAATTTGTTGCTGTTCTTCACATCTTCAAAACCCCTGTGTGGTCTCTTAATGACCATAATAATATACATCTTAAATTAAACTTGTAAAATTCAAAGTAATGGGAGTTACAGCATCAAACTGCAACAAGCTATTTGGTCAAGAATTAAGTAGGATTACTAGACTATTAGAGTATTATCTAGTTCCAAGACAAGCAGAAGTGTACGAGTAGGAAAATGCAGACACAGGCCATCTGATGCTAAACCTGTCACAAGAGAGCTAACTATCAGTATCAACCTGAGCACAGACGCATCAGCTGAGGAAACCTACGCAAGTCTAAAAAGCTGTTCTCTGTAATGAAGAACATTTTGCCATGGGGAGAATGTGTCTGTCTGGCTGTCAGAAGCATATGTACCAGTTTGCGTGTGGTCCAGCACTAGCTTCTCCAACAAGGAGATGTGGGAGGTTAGAAGCTGAACTCATCTGTTTCACCACAAAAAACATGGTAGTACCTTAAAAATGTGTTCATCCTGTGTTAATCCTTACCAACAAAGAAAAAGAGGGAAATCACAGTGAGAAAGAGTTTGTGTGCCTGTTAGGTACGTACGTAGGGAGCACCTGCGTTTGTTCTTGAGTTTCTTCCTCTTGTTGAGTCCAGCCTTAGAGGGCGACTCCTCCTTGAGTTTTGCCTGGCTGGACATTTTGGAGGAACTCTGCTGGCTGAAGTGGCTGGGGACATGACGAGCTAACCCTCCTTGAGAAGCAAAGCTAGCGTTGCAGCCACCAACTACACACTGCAGGAGAGCACAAAAACACAGTTGCAACTTAACAGGAGAAGATGACAACTTTTGTAACAAGCTAGTTATTAGTGCTGTCAAACAATTAAAATATTTAATTGCGATTAATCGCATTAATGTCATAGTTAACTCGCAATTAATCGCACATTTTTATCTATTCTAAATGTCCTTTGATTTCTTTTTGTCCCATTATTTTTTCTCATTTTAATGCTCTTGACATGGAAAAGTGGATTGGCTTGCTTTGTGCAAATGTTGTTTTTATTGAAAAATCATCCATTGTCGCCTGGCTTTGACGAGGGGGCGGAGAATTCGCATCAGCTGTGTGCTTGGCCATCAAGTGGTATTTCAGACTGGACATGCTGTGATGATAGCTCAGTTCACAACGACAGATAACTTTGGTCTTGTCAATGGAACCATTTGGCAACTTTTTAAAAGTAAACTTTCCATTCAGAATATTATTGGCATCCATTTCGGCGTCTCACGCTCACCATCCACTCAAAACGTAACGTCTACTACTCTTAAACAAGTGTGTGCGGCGTGCCTGTTGTTTTGTTCCCGGTCTAGCTAGATCCGGTGTGGTTTTGTAGTTTTTCTAACGTTACTAGTTGTTGCAACACCATGTGAAAAAAACTACAAAGTTAAACAAATGTTAATCTTGCGATAAAAAAAACTGACGCCATTAAAATGGGTTTGCGTTAACGCCGTTAATAACGCGTTGAACTTACAGCACTACTAGTTACAAATCTTATTTTAGTTAAATGCATGACAGAGTAGGTGAGGAAGTAAGGTAACTATCCCGTGCAACCAGACTTCTACATTAGCAACACTACTAAGATGATGGCTCATTCTAGATGTTGATACTATAAATATCACCCATAAACAGAATAATATATATACCAAAATTCACTGATCATCACAATTCGGAGAAACAGCTGCAGGTGTACATTGTATCAGAATTATTGTTTTTACCTTGAAGGGCTTATCTCCACTGTGTGTCAACATGTGTCTCTGGAGCCAACTTTGACTGGTGGACGGTGTGTTGTACACCTTACAACCCTTCCATAGACACACAAACACCTGAGGGATAAAGAGAGACAGAGATGAAGGGCGGAGAAGGAGTTTGTGTAAGCATAGTGAACAGACATATAAAAGAGACAATACAAGTAGAGGAAATTAACAGAAAAAAGTGGGACATTGTCCCACTCTCTGGAGTCTGGAAGTCTCTGTGAATGCAGCCTACAGGTGGAAGAGGTCTGGGTGCTTTCTTACCTCCTTTCTCTTATATGGCTGGTAAATTTCATAAAACGTTGTCATAACTGTGCAGGTGGAATCTAAGAATACTGTATATGCTACAAAACAACTTCAGAGAAAAAAAAAAGAAAAGGGTTTTTCTATAAAAGTGGGATAGCATCCAAAACAAGGCTGAATTTGATTACTGTTGCATTTAAAGGCTGGTCAAAAAACAGTTTAACATTCATGTTTATAACATTTTTTTGTACATGCAGTATATTCTAAGTGCATAGTAATTTAAGTATGGTGGAATATAGTGTATAGTTTAAGGCATTTATCAATCAACATCTCTTGTCACTGTTACTCAAGATAATCCACAGAACACACTATGAACAGTTTTCAAAGGGACAATTTCTTCATCAGAAAGTAGTTCCAATGAAAACTGCCTACAGTAATTTAATGCACTTCAATACTCAGTGGTTGCCTGCAGTCCAACTGCAGCGAACTGTTCGACTCTGTCTTGGATGTGTGGCTGTCAATGTTAAGATACAGCAAAAAGGGACATTGTCTTGCTTGGATACCTGTCAGGCAGAATAAAGCTCAAACATGAAGCTTGTCAAAAAGTTTAAAGTCTACTGACCCCTCCTCTCTGCCCATCAACATGAATGCCCCTGATATGCTCTGCCAGATCAGGACTGGAGTTGAAGCACTGCGGACAGAGGTCCCAACAGCAGGAGTAAGCGACTGTCTTAGCCCCAGAGGAGCTGGCATTGCTCTGTCCGTTCATCATAGCAGGGGTGGAACGCCCACTGGACACAGTGCTTTCCATCTCCATCAGGGTACTGCTGATACTGAGAGAGAGAGAGAGAGAGGAAGGAAGAATATACAGTCCCACTGTTATAAAACATGGGTGCTAAAGGCATCAAGAATATCTTCATAGCTCAGATCAGGCTATGCACAGCCGTGAACAACAGGTGCAGATGTCACTGTCCACATTAAACAGTATGCGTGAAATCTTTCAGGCTGCAATGGATTTTCCATGCATACCACTATTATCACTCATTCCAAATGAATCATTTTGTTGTATTCAATGCTGCTAGCACTAGATTATTAATTTGATGTCTCACAGGCAATAGTTTGCCACTCAGTCCACCATGTTTAAAGTCCCCGTGTGACCTTCACTGTGCGGAATGATGTCTATGCTGAGTTTGACACTATAAAAGCCCTTTTACCATTTATCTGCAAAAGAGAAGAAGAAAGTTTTTCTGTGCTCATCTCTCACTGCTGTTCTGAGGGTATTGTGGTTGGATCCTCGTGGTATTCTGACCAAAGCATGTCCCAAACATTTCATTAAGACCCCAAGGAACTAGGTTAACTTGAGGAAAAGTGGTATAATAATGTTACTTTTAAAGTCTGAATTAAAGGACTGTATAAGATAATAAATTAAGATGATTTTGTGACCTAACAACTAGTTGGGAAGACAACCATGGTCCAATATTAAACTTACACAAGTGCTGAAAACTGACTTTTTTAGTGAAGTAGGAGACATAATAATTGCACCCAGCAGGGAAAACTTTGAAATAAACTATACTATTAATGAGGTTAGTGAACTTTTTTTGTGGGAAAACCACTTCAGGCACACATGATTTTTCCAAGCAGAGTATTTTTATACGTATCCAAACATGTCTGATCTGTCATTAACTAGCCGATATAAAAAAAAGTGAAATGTGAAACATGAAAATGAAGGAGGGGTTGATAATAAATACCTGCCAAAAATTACCTGACAATTACCTACAAGAACTCAAATTAATCAGTTATCCTGCGGTTGTTCAAGGTGGGATGGAAGGACGACTACTACTACTACTACTACTACTACAACCACTACTACTACTACTACGTTAGTTACTGTAACCCGTTTACACCCAGCACACTGGTCCAGAACAACCAGGTCACATTCCCCGACCAACCTGTCCTCAGAGTCCATGCGGCTCAGCGGTTCACCATCCGAGGATGATATCTCCACACTCGGCCGCCTCTTGTCGTCCAGTTCCCCGCCCCCGCCGCTGGGCTTCTCACCATCTTCACAAACTGTTTTGCTCTTTTCGCAGTCTATCCCCGAGCACCTCGAGCAGTCCTCTCCCGGCTCCTCCTTCGCCTCTTTCGCTGTGCTGTCGTTGGCAGGTTCGTTACTACCACCTCCGGGGCTCTCCCGTGACTCTGGCTTTTGCTCCGGTTCTTCTGGAGCGGCTGTCGACTCCTGTTCGACCGTTACAGCACCGTCGTCTGTCACCGCCTCGCTCGCGGCCTTGTCTGCCGCTGCAGCGGGCTTCTCTTCGCCAACCTCCGCGTCCACCTCTTCTATTTTCGGTTCTACGCTGCTGAGTGGTTCCTCGGTTTCCGGTTCGGTGAGGGCCTTTTCTTTCCCCTCGCCGTTGCCCTCGTTTGTCTCCACGGGCAGCGCATCGCTCTCGGTGCTCAATGCGGGTGTCTCTTCTGTAGCCGCAGCAGCCATTTCCGTGGCGTACGTACCGTGTGACACTTTCGGTATGACAATTTAACCGTGGCACAGTCAAACGCTCCACTGCAGAAGAAGGGCTGGGTCAGAGCACACTGTCTGCTCTCTGATTGGTCCGCGGCGGCACGAGGAGGAGAAACTCTGACGTTGGGATTTAAACTTTCCATGTGTTTCCCAAATCACACAGCCTCGTTTTAATACGGGAATCCAGTGTTTACTAAGCAACCATTCCCACTGAGTCCTCCAGGGACCATGCGTGATGATAGTTTTACTCATAGTCTCAGTTATGAGCCACTATTATAAGAATTTAAGAACTTTTGGGTTGCATAACATAATTATAAACATTTATAAAAAATAGTCTTATTAGAAAGTGTTAAATCCACAAGCAAGTTTTAATAGAGCATTTTTCAAAATCTAGCAATAAAAATTTAATAATTTATAACTGAATTGTAAAGCATTAGCAAATTATTTATTAACCATCAATAAAACCATTAATTATAACTTATAGCCTCTTTATGAAGGGTGCCTTCTCATAAAGTGGTAGGCCTGCCTATTTTTACGAATGAAATACTCTGCTACAGGTTTAGCTACGCAAATAACTAAACCAATGCTGGATTAGCAACTGGACAAGCGATGTTTTGTGCTTTTTTTTAGGACAAAAATAAACTAAAGTAATCCAACTTGGGCTCTGGGAAAGAGGTAGTCTGCACCATCATAAACGCTGTGTACAAATTTGCTGCAAGATATCATCAATGTTGCAGCAGCAGAATGACCACAAGAGGGAGCCACAGTTCTATATTAACACTGGTTGTCACTCAAACTGAGGACCTGATGCCAGACTTACCAAATAAAATGATCCCACATTCACCTCTTTCTGTTCCCTACAAATGAGCCATTTTCAAATTGATTATTTCTGATGAAGGTCATGATTAAAAGTATTCAGCCAGTGAATAGGTTTACATGGATTTCTTCTCAGCTTGTCCACTAAAAGTACAGAACGCAATGCAACTGTTTGTTAAGAACAGCAACATTTATTTAACATGATATAAAACAGATGGAATATGAACATTTGCAAATCAATTCTTGTTTGTAACCATATGTTGGATACATCCTCCCATCATGCTGTACCATGTACATTATATACACAGTAAACCTCTGATAATTACACTATATACACACAAAAAAATAATCCTGGATCCACAAATGTTTTATTTTTATTGCTCTTTACATGTGCTAATTTTTTTTTTTTCTTTAGTTCCAAGATTTCAAACCAACATGTCATAAAATAGAACCAAACTCTCTTTTTTTTGCCTTCTCTCAGTTTAAATATATCTCTCAGCAATAAAAAAAGACAGTATAGAGTGACTAAAGCCAGAACATTCACATATGTGTCGGCAACAATGCGACAGGGACTGCAGAAGATCCCATTTTTAAATAATTACAACCCAGAAACAGGAGAAATTACAAATAATCTTAAATCTGCAGCAATAAAGTGGTCCCTACTTTCATTATAATTGAGGGATCTACATCTCTTATATACCCATCTTTCATATCAACAAATGTTCTTTACAATAAATTGATGAATATGAATGTTTAGCTAATGACTGTTGAAAAACAAACAGGGATTTATAAAAGACTTAACTGAACTAAGACTATGTGAAAACATGTTCTTGGAACCTTTTTGACCAGGTGGTGAAACATGAATGGAAAATGTAGCATAGCCCAAAACAATTTGTCACAAGCCCTTTGGCTCACAATATTAGCCTCATATGTATATGTGTGTCTATATAAACATATATGTATATTTATATATATATAGACACACCGATAGACATTTGCCCATATTCAAAGAAGAACCTAATAAAACCATATAAATAATAAAAACAACCTTGAAAGCATTGAAAAACTGAAAAATGAAACTGTAACAATAACAGGATCAAAGCTGTATTGTCTCACCGGGTTGAGGAGAGTGTGGCACCACAAAGAGGGACAATAACAGAGAAATGTCACACAGAAAAAGTCTTGTTGGTGGCACAGGAGCTTAAGACGTCACAGTGAGCATACAGAAGTCAGAGGTTAAGACCCCGGAGTAGGCAGTTTCTCTCTCTGTAGGCCGTGGCCTTGTGCTGATGTCCTTGGGGGAAGTCTTCTGAGGCATCTTTATACCTCTGCTGCTGTTTCCTTCATGTGTAGGTTTTCACTGAGGCCAGAGCCTGTGCTGCAGAATGAGAAGGGGAGGTTTTATAATGGAGGCAAAGATCCAAATATGCTCCAAAAATAACACTAGACAATGGATACCTAAGAATTCCCCAAAACTCGTAGTTCTACAATGCAGTATTTTAGTAATTTGAGTCTTCAAGTGTTGTAAAATGTGAAAAAGTAATGGCCCTACAGCAATGTGGAGTTGAGTCACGTGACTTCTCATACCACAAGAAATACCACAAGATGAGAAAAAAACTGTCCACAGCAACACAGAACATACAGTAACTATCCTTACATATATCCCCTATACCCTTACATAATGCTTCATTAACCCTTTCACTGTGACATGCTTTTTCTCCCCAGAGACAACAAATAAAACACTGAGAACACTTTAGCATTGTGAGTATGGACAAAACAGGTTGATGAAGGCCCTTACTGGTGCTACTAGACACACATGAAGTGAGACCCATCAGTGAGTTGAGGGGGTGTGTTAGGAGACTGTGGGAGGGGTGGGGAAGAGGGCGACAAGCTTTTCACTGCAATGAGACAGAGCAACATATTGAAAACACACAAGGCACACACAAAAAAAACATTATACCAGCAGCTAATCAAACAACAGAAAATAACTACTGAAGTCAATGAAATTGATGAAGAAACTACTGCGAGTACAATGATAAATGACTGAACACATAAACAATGGATGGTTTGACAAACCAAAATAAAAAGTTGTGATCTTTAAAAACAGGCTCACACTACCTTTTGTTTTATTACATGCATTCTTTTGATCAAACCTCCCCCAACTCCTCCCTCTTCTCTCTAGAGATGTACCTGCTACCAGCTTGCTGCGTTTGGAGGCCTCTGCTGCCAGCTCGTAGGAGATATTAATCATCTTCTCCTTCTCCTGTATGGTAACCTCCTCTTCAGTCTCCTCCTCTGGGCTTAAAGCCATACTCGGCAGAACGTTCTGCATGCTGGAAGCACACACAAACAAAAAGGTCTGTGTAATATACAGTATACAGCTTTCATTGTAAACGTAATTACAGAATAAACACCCCGGGACAGACAAGCTATCTCCTTTAAATCAATTCAAGAGGGCTGACATTTAGAATAAAATGTCACAGTGGCTAGGAGATGAGAAGACATTTCTGAACCTCCAGGCACTGATCTGCATGGGAAGAGCATGCAAGGGAGTGTGGGCACTTTTGAGCCATATATGGTGATGTCCTGTTATAACCCCAGCCTTACCCCTCACTTCTACAAACAATTTCATGCATGACATCTGTAGGAAAATATCAGCGCTCACCTTCAAAGATAGCCACTTCACCAAAGGATCCTTACCTAACATCAAGGGTCTGAGCAGCCCTGTCCATGCTAATAAAACACTACTGGTACAGATAGACCACCATGGGGCATTTACCTGTTTTTGGCTATGAGGGCTTTGATGCGATCTACTTTTCTCTGCTTATCAGCCTCCTGTTCAGGGCTCAGAGCCTCCTCGGGGTCTGACTCCACATAGCGCTCAGGAATCAGCACTTTGTCAGGCACAGAAAGCTGAAAAAAACACAAAGAAACACTTAACATGGCACACTTCACGCAAATTAATGGAATACTATGTGCTAAAAGTGTCACCAATGAGGAATTATAAATCAGAAAGACATTTCTAATTAAATAAATAAATAACAAATGCTTGCCGTCATCACCATCTACAGTACAGGGAGGCTGTTCCAAATTGTGGGTGTGTGTAAGAACTAAAAGGAGCATCACCGTAGGCTTTGTCCTACAGTGAGAAACACTAAATGCAAGACATTCTGCAGCATGCAGAGATCAGTTGTTGGAGTTCATTGATGTAATCCAGAGAAAGGCAGTGAACTCTTATAAAACAGCAAGAAGCACCTTATAATCAAGTGTTTGGCTTATAGGCAGCCAGTAAAAAAGATTTTATTATAAGGATCTTTGTGCCATGCTCAGCTTGGCATTGGAATAAATCCTGGCTGCAATGTTTTGCAACTTTGCATTTTGGTAGATTGATTTTTTGGTAGATTGATTTCTTAGGAGGACCTGAAAGAATGGTATTGCATTGATTTAAATATGATTAAACAAATCATTTTTATAGCTATTTTCACAGTGAAATATGGTGTCAATTGCACTGTGGTCCACAGAGACATGGTTCTTCATCTAGCTAACATCAAAGGATATTTTTCCTTTTCAGAATTAACTTAGAGAAACAAAGAAAGATACAAATTGGCATTATTTCCCTGACAATTTTGCTTTAGATAACAAGCTGTGTTACACTGAATTGCAATACTTTCAAGGTACAAAGGCATTTAGTTACAGGATAAGTTCAATATCAAGTTTCTTTTAGAACATAATTTATTACAAAATACGTCTTTTAATTGCACTAATACGATGTAATTAAACTTTTTTCTTTAATTATTCCTTTTACTCTATTAAGAATCAAACCCACAATACTATATGTGTCTTTGGTAAAAAAAATCCTGTGATAATATTAGCCCTCTCAGTCTGATGACTAAGACAGCCAGCTGATGAGTAGGACAGCCAGCTGATGTGACTTACCTCGCGGTCCACATTTAAGTGGTCAACCTGCGAGGCTTCTTTGAGACGAGCAATCTCCTCAGCAGGCGTCTCCTGCTCCCTCACCACCTCCTGCTGCCTGAGTGAAGCCTCCAGCTCCTGAATGTCACTGCTGATCACCTCGTCTCTGCGCCTCATTTGGGACTAAAAAAAGACACAGAAAAAAACAAGACAAATAATTATTCCAGAATTTGATTTCAGCCTACTCTGAACGTCAGTGCTGCCTTAGTGTCTACACCCGTCTCCAAATACCTGCATGCTGGGAAAATGGTTTCCTTTAGTAAATGAGTGACTGCGAGAGGGTGTGTTCTCCTGGCTGCCACCCCGGATGCTGAGGCCTTTCTTTTTCTCCCTGAGGGCACCCTGCTGGTGGCGGCGGATCCTCTCCAGCTGCTCCTCCACACTCATTCTGGGCCGGCTGCTCTCCACAGCACACAGCTGCTGCTCCACCGCACTGCGTGGACGCTCCTGTTCAGAGATGACCACCACAGACATGCAGAGGGATACAGACAACACACACACACAATAAATAAAAGTTAATAATAATTTAGCATTACTGTCAGATATACAATGCTAGGAGACAAATGTACCATGCTAAAGTTTTTTACTACGCAGAGCCACAGGTCAGGTGTGTAGCTCATGATGTGGTTGAGTCAGTTGCGGCGTTTGCAGTGAATACTCGGTATGTATTGTTGAAACTTGCCCAAGTAGAATAATCACATCTCCTCTGGCAATACTGCACTTACTGGAAAAACATTTTGCTTCTTTAAACAAAGCAAACAGTCAAGATTGACACAATAACCACAATAACGGTTGTGAAATGGCTCTTTAATTTTCACTCTCTTGGAGCCAAAATGACCAGAAGTCCAAACAAATGTGGTAACAAGCGTACTGGCTGCTGTGCACACACATGCTCCTCCTGGCACACATGGGTGCACTCAGAGAGGCAGGGGGGCCTGTTAATGCCTGAGCGGGAGAGAATATGACGTGAAGTGAACTGAGGAGAAGTTGTTCACTGTTCAGGTTTGTGCCATGTTGGAGGGGCTGGCAGATCTGGCTTCAGTCCAGAGCCTGAGGACGCAGCCTCCACTGTCCAGATTGTTCAAAAGGCTGGTATCCAAGGGCCTAAGATGAACTCTACAGGCCTGTGACATGCTCCCACGCTCCCAACCATGGGCTATATGGCCTACAGGGAAGACTACAGTATGTGTGCAGCTGACGTTTCCCAAAGTTTGTGTAGATTAATTTATACTATATGTCCATCTTTCAAACACAAACTCATACAGACACACCAAAAACAGGACACACCCTACAGTGTGGTGCACTAATGACATGGTTAGTTTATTTAAGTTCATAGTGTTTGAGGCTGGAAACTGTATAAACCAAGCTTGGCATCTATTTTATGACAGCCTGGTTTTAAGGGCATGAGTCACACCCTGGCCATGTTATGGGTGGCCTCTACTGCCATGTTAGCTTTCAACCACCAGCTTAATAACCAAAACAACCAATTAAAAGGGGAGTAAATGCAAAAACAAAAAGCATATTGTTTTTCTACTACTTAGAAACAAAAATGTCTGGTTTGCCACATAGGAAAATAAGTCAGCCTTTTTACATTTTCAAGTTAGTTTCAGACAACTTACGGCTAAATCTAGAAGCATGCGGTGGTTCAAATGTTAAAACATCTTAAAAACAATTTACATTTAGTATTAGAAGTGACATCACTCCAAGAGCAGTATGGACTATAGTCCAGAGACTCACCGTCCTGGGGTCCGGCTTCTTGCTCTTCCTTAAAGTAACATACGAAGCAATGGAGGAAGACTCAGGTATTGGAGATTTGGTCCTAGGTGGAACTATGCCAACTGGGTAGGACATCCCTGGCAGGTAAAAAAGAAAAGAGGTCAGTAAGCCACCTGGGTCAATGACACATTATACACAATTATACAACACATTAATAGAAATTCAATGAAGAGCATACTCCTAGGGCATTAATACTGTTATTAATATGAACTGAGTTTGCACAATGTTAAAATACAGTTATGTTCAAAACAGAAAAGAATTTTAAGAAAAGAATTACTTCAAGAAAACAATTAAGAAATATTAGAACTTTACTTAAGAGTATAAATTATACAAATAATACAGCAACTGCAGTTTGGCCAGTAAGTTTCTTGTTTGTAAATTCATTTTTCTCAAATTTGTAGAATAAAATCGTCTGTGTATCGACGAGACCTTCAAGTTCAACCCTGGGAATATATAATCTGGCATCAAGTATACTCGATCAACAATTGCAGTGGTGTTTTCCACAGCGTCTGCAGGCAGCATCGGCAGGTTGCTACTATTGATTGTGTGGCGGTGTGGAACAAGTGTGGAGCTACAGTGTAATCATTCAACTTCAGAACACCTGGATTATGCTGCGCAAGCTGTTTCATCACATTTAGGCTACTTTGCTCTTTTGGAAATCTTTTCACAGAGAATATACGAATATAGTGTGGCATAAAGTCTAAGTAAGAGTGGAGTCAATAGAATAACCAAGTTATTTCAGCACTCATACACATTTAAACCTACCGTAGTATTGTGATTTACAGAGTGTTAATTAAATACAGACCTGCCCAATAATGGCTGTCCTGAGATTTACTCAGTGATATTCTGAGCTAGCCTTTGGAGAAAAGCCTGACCTTAGTATTTATCATCTGTGTCAAAGTGATGCCAGTGTGAATTCTATGGTAACCATGGAAACTATCAGTGCTCTAAACGAGTTCAGTATGATTTTTTAGGTGACAAAATTGATAATTTATTGGAAAACTGCACAGTTATCAGAAACTAGCGTCGTATTACTTGGAGTTACTCAAATGTACCTTTGTTTCCAGAATGTTCTCTATCAGAAGGGTGGTCAGATCGGTCCTCTCCATTGCTCTCATCCACTTCGGTCACTGTGGTGAGCTCTGGTTCACTCTTATAGAGCCTGTAGTCTGGGCCCTGTCGATCACAAAGACAGAAGTTCAACATACATCTCTGATTTACAGTTATGGAGAGTTTGGTTTCAAACTGATAAATTAAACATCTGAAAAAGTGACAATTTCTCTTTCAGAATGACTTCAAAGAAAAAGGCAAACAAACTTCCTTTTTCTACAAATTGTTTTTACAGACTAGGCCATCTTAAAACATAAATATAGAGAGCTTGAAGAAAAACTCTCCACGTAGTTCGCGTTTCAAACACACTTTTACAGCCAAATGAAAAAGTCGACAGCAGGCAGACGCATTTAAATTCAGACATGTTTAGTTTTTAACCAAGGACAGAACACAACAAACTGAACAAAATCACTATTTTTGAACACAAAGAAACAGACACGGAAAAGGAAGACAAGGCAATTCAATTACAAAAACAAAAACAAAATACACAAATGAGGCTTCATCCAACTAACTGAACAAAAAAAAAAGATGATGGGAGAAATGCATCAAGTAAATAAAGGGATATGATCCAACCAAAAACAAAAAGGAGTGTTGATGTCCGTCAAAATGAAAGTGGAAACCATCACAGCGAGCAATGACGTGATGACACAGCTGAGGGCAACGGGTCAACAAGCTTACGCTGTGTGTGCCATTCCTGTGATTGGCCTTCCTGTCCTCCGGCCTGTGGAGGGTTGAAGGGCGCACACCGGCATGAGAGGGCAGTGGGGGCACGGTGGGGGGGTTGGGCTCGTAGGACTGCGGTAGGGGTGGCCGTGGGGGTACAGAGTCCTCCTCCTGGGGATTATACAGGGCATGACAGGACAGGAAGCAAGATGACACATGGTGCCACCATGCACGCTCAAGGCAACCACCATCTGGTACAGAGTAGTTCTAGCCCACTGGACAACCAAGCCAGCTGAGTAGCCAGAGAGAAAGCTACAACATGCTGTTACAGGGTGACTGGCACATCCAGTCAGATACCAGCACTCATACTGTCCAAGAGCAGGGCTGGAAGTTTGAGCACTCAGCTTAAGTTGGTCATCATCCACAAAACTACAGGAGATCTGGGTAAAGAGAACTACAGAAGCCCTGAGAGGCAAGTGAGAAAAGAAAGTCTGATCTTGTATTTATGATTTAAAGGAGGTGGGAAAAGACTTGACATGACAATCTTTGTAAGTTCTTAACTTTGTTCTTCTGTGAAACAAGTGGCAAAAAAAGTTTTACCAGGTGAAAAAAGTTTTCAGGGTTTGTTGTTGCAATACTCATTTCGGCCACAAGAGGCTGAAGTGCATCACTACCTCAATACTTTTATTTTCACAATAGTTGTCTAAATGTTTTTCTGTTGATCAACTAATTAATCTGATGCCTAACTGTTTCAGCAATTATGACCAAGTGTAATGTTTGGTGTCCCTGTTAGTGGTGCCTTACCTCATTTCTGTGCTTGCTGAAGTTAGTCATGGGCCCATAGGAGTTTACACCGTCAGCATTTCTCTGAGCTTTATGTTTATTAAGGACCTCCATGACATCCTGAATACTCCAAAGCTCTTTCTGGATCCGGACATGCTGCTGGCTGGGAGGCTCAGTCTGAGTGTGAACAGAAAACAAACACACACACACACACACACACACACACACACACACACACACATACACGTTCACAAATCACTTAACATTACCTGCAAATTAACACTGAACTTGGTGTTCTGGAGACATGGACGAGCAGAAGAGCAAGAGAATCAGACGTGTAATTATCTCCACCTTACTGATGGCAGGTTTGTCTGTGAGTGAAGGACACTTAAGAAGAGGATGTCCAGGCACCCTGCTGGCCCTCTGACTTCTCTACTCTGAATCAAAATTGGCTCTGACTGTCAGATCTCTCTGTCTCTACACCTCACCCGCAATGAAGGACAAGATAAAAGGCAGAATTAATTAAGAACTGCTCTATCATCGCTAGTCATCAATCACTCACTATGTTGCTTTGATCTCACAGTTACTATCCTCCATGCTGCAGCTAAGGGCACAAGAAGCACTTCTTTACTTTTTCCCCAAAGAAAAGAAGAGTGTCTACAAAAAGGATGACTGGGTGTTCAAGGTAATCTGCCACATTTTCAGTTTTGTTTGAAGCTCTGCAGTAAATATACTCCAACCAAAGTTTGACTATTATACCATGCCAGTCTTAGAAAGCAGCAGTGGTGAAAGAATAAAGCAGCACAGCTTCAGTCTCTTCAGAACTTTTCTACCTGAGGGCTTCCCAGTGCTTCAAGTTGCTCCAGCAGGTTGTTCTTAGCCAGAGTCACATCTCCTTCCAGCTTGTCATACTCCCTCCACGATCGCTCCAGCTCCTGGTTTTGGAGGAATACACTTTGTGAATGACAATGTTGGAAAAAAAAAAAACAGCAGGCAAAAACTCTCATCTTATTCCCGAAGAACGAGGGGGTCAGTGTCCAGCATGAGTGTGCGTGTTTGTACTGTATGACTCACAGTTGTGACTCTGGAAAGCTCTCTGCAGGTGCTGAGCAGGCCACTCTGCAGTAAGTCTCTCTGCTGGATGACACTCTGCATGGCGGCAGGGTTATCAGAGCCCATCTCTATCTCTTGGCTGGCTGACAGCAGTGCTGTCTCCAGGGTGTGCTGAAGAAACGCACAACATATCAAATACACATACAGCATGAGAATGTAATTTGTCACCATGACCTTTTAGATCAGTTAACTTTAGCAAAGTCATAACACATTATTCAAGACTCTCCAACTTTTCTGGCCCATGACCCTTTTTAGCTCCCATAAATAGAAAAATGTCAAAAATAATGACAAATGCCCATCTCAGTGCCAACTTATAATGAGTCCAATAACTCAGATATTTAATCGTATAAGTGACTCCAATGTTGAGTTAGATATGGTGGACAAACACAGTGCCATACTGTTCATTACTTTTGAAACTTGATTATTTTCTCTGTATACCTGTCGACACCGCACAGCGACCAATACAATGTTACAGTGTGCTGACAGTGGACAGTCAGATATGTTAAATACAGTATGACATGGCTATGCAAACCTTTCAAACCAGACAACTCTTGCACAGTGATGACAGTAGTTAGACCATACTTAAAGGCAGAGTATGCAGGATTTTCCTAAAAAACAATGTATAGTCTCATACCAAAAAAATATCTCTCAATTATCACTTATGACCCCCTAGAAGTATGTAGTGGTGTTTATATCTGCAGTGACCCTGTCGTCTTCCTGTATTTTCTTTTTTTGTTGTGTGCAGATTGTTTCCGGGTGTCTACCTCTGGGCAGCATGCAGGGTGAGTTCAGGACTCAATTTAAATGTAGCAACCAGGTTACATCACTGTCTCTGTCTATCTCTATCCTCTGCTCCCTGTCTGTATCATGGATGCATACAGAGCTGCAGGTCTGTGAGTCAGTGTCTGTTTGGCCGAGGGCAGATGGGATGAAGCTACGCTTCAGCTGCATTCACACAAAATCAAGAAATATGGCACCTTACTGCATGGTTGCATAGAGATGTGTTTATTTGTGCTTTAGAGCCACTGTGGAACAATTAGAACATTACGTTTTATTTCTCTGATTCACTGCTTTGTTCACGCTAATATCGCTCCCTCTCCTCAATCATGCTCTATGTAGCTCGACCAAAGGAGCTCTCCCTGGGTTATTTGATCTGGGCAGGAATGGCTGACTTGAGTTGTGCATTAACATAACACTACGGAAAAATCCTGCATAGTATGCCTTTAAACATTAAAACAGATAAACAAGATCGTTTGTTTTTTCTTTCTCTCAGCTTTGTGCATATAAACTTAATTCAAGATATTTCTATAATTAAACACTGTAAACTGTGTATTCTTTTTAGTTTATTTTTTTCCATTGGGCACCACAGCCTTATAAGCATTTCAAATTGTGTTTTATGTGAGAAAGTAATGATGACAGAGGAGCAGTTTATTCACCTTCTCTCTGTAGAGCTGCTGAAGTTTGTCCTCATGTGTCCTCACCAATTTATCCTGCTCACACAACCTGCTAAGTTTGGTCTGAAGAGAAAACAATAAAGCGTTGTGACCCATTATGTTCAGTGAAATGGAGCCTCATGTCATGCGCAAGAGCAAAACTCAACTTACATCAATGTCCACCTCTTCTGGCATACATGTATAGGCGTGTTCCCTGTAGTCTTCTGGACTCAACTGTGAAGAAAGACAGAACTTTAGACAAAGAGACACAAAATATGCACATACACATTAGAATCTGGAGATCTAATGCAGTGTCATGACAAGGCTCTCTCACTGAGCCACGGGATTTGTCCTTGAGTGGAAACTCATATTTCCCTGAATCAGACAATCTAAGTTCACAAACCAACAGTGGGAGGCAGCCAGCCTAAACACAGATTCTGGTGCCTCGTGTTTCATCACCCACAGTCGTTTGTCTCCATCAGCACAACGCAGTGGTTTTATTGGAAATGCAAGGGGAGGCATGTAAAACAATCTTGCTTACTAAACTTTAGAGTCAGCGCATAAGCTGTGTTCACCAACACACCAGCACACGCTCTGCAGCTAACTGGTCCGAGGACTCTGCCTGTCTGGTAGCTGTGGTCAACTGAGTATGTGTTGTGTTAAGTCAAAGTGCAATATTATTTAAAGATATTCCCAGAATAACGGCATAACCACAGATCTCCTTATGACTTAAAGTACAAGACAAAAGCAGTCAATGCCAGACTGTATTCCAGTTACTTCTACACTATTACAACACCTATGTTTATTATATAACAACACCTACATTTCTGAAGTTACAAAACCAAGAAAAGAAAAAGTCATCCTTCTTTCCACTTGTATTAAAGGAAAAAAAAGAGTGCTCAAACTGAGAAAATTATTTCAACTGCATTGGATCCCATGTTTCCAGAAAATCCATTCATCACATGCTTTATTCACCCAATCTCTAAATCTAAAAAATAAAAAAAAACGTGCAGTCCATAAATATTAGGACAGTAACATATTTCTGTGTTGTTTTGAGTACTCACACTAGATATGAAATGACAAGACTATAACGTCAAACTATTAACTTTCAGCTTTAATGTACATCCTTACTGGGCCAACTCAGATTAACTGAAGAATTAAATACACTCAAGTAAGCATGCTCAATATATGTCTAAAATCATGACGGGCTAGTCTACAATTTACAGATATCAGCATGTGACGCTCTGCCAGGCCTGAACTGCAACCATCTTCCCTTTGTGCTTGTTTTTGTGGCTTTTCGCTTAAGTTTGGAACATATCACATTTCAGATGTTTCTGTTTGGCCCTAAAAAACATTGGTTGCTTTGGTCGTGCAGTATTTTTGGGTTCATTACCCTGCACTTAAAAAAACCCTTTAAGCTAAGAGTACACACTTTAACTTCACTGACATTATTTAATTTCAAATCCAATGTGCTGGCCTACAGAGACAAAACAACAAAAAATGACTCACTGTCCAAACACTTATAGACTCCACTGCATACCAGCATTCAACACTCACATCTGTACTCATTCACACACACTTTTCTTCACACCTTTTTCCTCGGTTGAACCACACGGTACAGTTAAAGCAGGTGGGACCTGAGAACCACATGGCATTCCACACAGAACATGCAGACTCTCCCACAGCTCAGGGAGCTTCACTGTGGTGTTGTGTGGTGTGGATTACAAGTGACATGGGGAGGAGGAGGAGGGGGAGGAGGGAGACAGACTTCTGGCAGCTGAACAGGTGGGAATGCAGCTGTTGCTGGGCTGGTACGCCAATGAATGGTGGGAGGGTGAGGGTGGGTGCGGGCAGTCTCCGGCAGCACTTTTACACCTCGAGAGGCAGTCACAAAAGTGGCAAAGTGATGTCATAGCCTTCGTCACACACAAGCTGGCCCTCTTTATCCTTTCCACCAGCAGAATGACAAGAGGGGGTGAGAGGGAAGTAATGCAGACAGGTAAAAAGGACGGGTTTACCTAGAAGTCTTCATCTTCATCATCAATGTGACCCCCTGCCCATATTAGGTTTAGAGTCTATTCCACAGCGGATGTTCAGGTGTAATCAGCCTTAAACCACTAAATCCAAACATCAAATGAATAAAGCAGCACTGCTTGAATTAACTGTAAACCAAGGTTTACTTTGGCGTTTTGTTTTTCGGATAGTGGACTATTTATAAATCTTGCTGAAAGTGAAAACGTAATTACCTTATTGTACTTAAATAATGCCATAACAACTAAGAAGTGACATGTCTGACAACGCGGAATTAAGTACTAATTAGAGTCCCCTTGCTATGTCCAGGTGGCTTGTTTAATGAGAGGGAAGACAATCTGCAAAGGGTAATGAAAAATCACACTGTAACATTCGCTGGTTAGGGCACTAGACAAAACAAGCTGAGTTAAGACTAGAGGCTTTGCTGCTTAAATGAGCTGGGTGCAACAACAGCTTTAGCTTTTGATTTTAGGACAGTCCTAAACGCTGAGTGTTTTCTAAGGACGTAGCAACTTCTAGAGTAAATTATATCCAGTGCCCATACACAAACCTGAGAGTAAGGAAGGGATTTAACTGAAAAGTGAAGCATACACATCATACTACTCTTTTCCAAGTCATTCCCATATTGGCATGACTTCTCATAATAAGAGGAGAACAGTCAAAAGCAATGGATGAGGAGGTGCTGGCGATACAAACGATACAGGGAGACCAGTCTCAAGATGCCATGAGGACTTGGACACCGAAGGAGGAGCATTGCACAACAGACCAAAATAACAACAGCGACTGGTGAGGATGAGGCGGAGCAAAGCCTTTGGCTGGCCTTACTTGCTGGTAAAGTTGAGGCCTTGGGGCAGAGTTCTCAATCAAAGTGTGAGTCATGACGATTAAAGGGTCATTTTCCTTCATCTAGTCCAGTGTGGAGAGGAGCGATATGTAAGTGTCAGTTCATAGCAGTGCTTCACTTCAACAATGTTGTTACACCTAGCTTGCTTTATCTCATGAAGCAGACTCAAACATAAACATCCAGAGAGGACAGGGATGGATACAGCAACGAGAAGCAATAAAAAGACACTTAGAAACAGGATCAGGAAGACATTGCAGTGCAAAGATCTCACACACTTACTCGGTGGAAAGCTCCCGTTAAACTTTAATGTATCAATGATGCAAATACAGCGGGCAATATTATTTTGTTGTATGTCGCAAAAGATGGTCAATGTTAAGCCTTATTACCTTAGTTTCAGTATGAAGACCAAAATTACATATTTCTCAATGGTTACACAAATCTTAGGCTAGCTCATTTAAGTATGACATTATCTTCCATATTATATTATTAAAAATGTGTTGTTGTGCCTCTGTGTACTATACATTGCACTTTTGTAATTATTCAAACTCTCAATGCACTTCAGAGCAATAAAAAAACAGAAGATGAAAGACAATGATACACACTTTTCTATTTGCACTGTATATGTAATATCTCCCAAGTACACAGAACAGAGTGATTTCAGATATTGAGTTAATTTAGCCGACAGTGAATTAAGGGTACGTATTAAATTAGTTCAGTTCATGACAGGAAGAGACAGGGCCATGCATTCATGCATTACCCCACCTGATTGTCCAAATACATGAGGTTCCTTTGGAGATGATGGGAGAGAATGTCGTTCTAACGTCAGCAGCAAAAAGGAGAGGATAGAAAGGCAACAGGAGAGTGAGACAAAAGAAAAGGATGTTCTCTCTCTCTCTCTCTCTACTCTCACAAACACACAAGCATGTAATGTACACTATACCCAGAGATCTCCGAACAGAAAGAAAGGCATAGCCAGTCAAGCTGAAGAAAAAAAGGTCAGGTTGCAGATGAGTGTACTATGGGACATGAAAGAGCTCCATAATGACCAAATGGCCATATACAGGCAACAATCTTTGGCAATAGTGGTAGAAAGAGACTTCAAATAAATTGTAGAGTAGTGGCTAAAAAACAAAACTGATTATAAACCAAAACCCCTCATACCAGACCATTGTCCACCTCAGGCCTGGTTGACCCAAATCAACAATGGTCAAATCTGTAGTCTGACGTTTTAGAAGGGACTTCAAATGCAAAAATCCTGAATTAATATTTATGTATGGCAGTGGCCTTAACCTCCTTAGCTGGTCGCTCTTTAAGCATCTATCTGGACTCTTAAGGGAAGAAAAATGACTCAATCAACTGCATGCCTGACTGAAATGGATCAAATTTAAGGCAGCTGCTGGTTGTAAAAAAATATTCTTTTTGTTTCCAGATATTTCACATATTTTGGGAAAAATTGAAAGCAAGTTAGCTGATGCCTAAATATGATGAACAGACAACTTAAAGCCAAAGCATAGTCCTTTATGGAGAAAATGCTTACTGTAGTGCCTTTCTCCTTAAATCAGCCATGTGTGAAGACAAAATAAAAAATCCTCTGGATCCAGATGAATAATGGAAGTGGGTAAATATGGCATACAAACCACACGCTAACACACATGCCTGCAGGGGCATCTCTGGGGGCCTGACCTTTGGGTTGTCGCCATCCATGTTTAGCTGCATAAGCTGTGCTACAGTGTGCTCCCGGATACTGTTTAGCTCTGCCTGCTGCCGCCGCAGCTTTATCAGCAGCAGAGTCAGTTCCTCAGGCTGCAAGGGAGGGAGGAAGGGAGGGGACACAGCCACAATGAAACAGGGACACACCGCAGGGGGGTGGGTAGAGGAAAGGAGAGAACACACCAGGACAGGAGATTTAGAGGTATCAGGCTCCCAATAGGTGAACAGCTGCTGTATCTAGGTATTGTGTTTTCATGCAGCTCAGGACCATGGGATTATCCAAGGTGCTATCGCTGTTAGCAGCATGCAAGTCTACACGTCCACTCAAGACAGAAGAACAGTTTAGCGTTTATTACAGGATCCAGTTCAAACTTGAGCAGCGCCATGAGGACATAGCACTGTGTGCGGCTTTGACATAAATTCCTGATCTGGCTTAGAGAGTTGTGAGTGACAGGGTTTTTAAGTCTCCACTGATGTGAAGCGAGTCAAAGGAGCTCCTGAAGTGAACATACCCTAAATCCTACTGCTTGGAACATACATCTGAGTTCTGCCTAAATCTGTCTCTAAAGATTCTGACACAATGTCTTCTTGGAAGGAAAGGAAGGGCAGAAAGAGGGAGAAAGGGAGGGTAGGTGGTGTTGTGAAAATAACCTTGTCCAATTAAACCTGAATGAATAAGTGTGTGGAGCCCAAGCCTGAAATGACCTGGTGTCTTACAGAAATTCAGTTAGAAGATAGTGGTGGACACAGACGAGGGACAACATGGACAAGGACTTACTGTTTTGCCTTGCAGAGACTGGGCAGTGATAGTCTGGACTGGGATCCCTGCAGGCATAGACCGCCGATCAGGTGGGTAGGCATACTGCAGAACACAGTGAATTAAAAGCACAACAGTCCGTCATTTTATACAATGGATAAACAATCACTCAAAGCTGACTAGTCCACCAAAATACCAAAATACAAAGAAACATACCCTCAGTGTTATTTTACCTGCCAAGTATTGAGATATCCATCTCAGGTTTCTGTCACCACAAATACAATGAATATGAAAGGAATTTTGCTTGTGCTGCTCAAAATATCGAAAATGACTTGATGGATGGAAACTATAAAACTAAAAGCTTTTAGAGTCCCTGTTATCCGGAATAATCGGAAGTACATGCTGTCAATACTGTCAGTTTTTGAAAGACTATTTAATTTACTAGTAAAAGGTAGATCTAATAGAAACTGTTATGCTGGTTTGGATGATGTTTTTTTTTTTTCAATTACATTTTTAATGTTGGAAGCACCACAAACAAAAATCAACTCACCTCCATTTTATATCAGGTTTGGATATCTCAAAATCAGAGCAAATAAACCATAACTATGTGCATAACTAGATACAGCTTAAGGTAAGTGAACTACCCTTTTAGCATTTATGTGTGCCTCAATTGACCTTGTTAAGTTGTGGCCTGTGCCGTCTGTCAATGCTCAAGTCTCTTCTGTAGATGGGAGAGGACACCTCTGATCGGGCATTGTTCATGTTGTAGGATCGCATTGGAGAGTAGCCGCCGTACATGGACAGGGAGCCGTGGGAGGGCGAGGGGGGGATGGAGTGGCTTGGTGCAGCATGCGCTGACAGGTTGATCATGGTTTTGGGACTGGCCATATTGCTGTAAACCCCCGGCTGCCTGGTGTAGGCCTGCCTTTGCTGCCACTCAAATAACTGCCACATGGTGTCGTCGCGCATGGAGCGGCGCTTGTCAGACGACGAGGGACCCAGAGCCTGGTCGTACAATGATGGCGACATGCTGCAGATGCTGTCCCGCTGTGCCATGCTATTCCTGGGCATACTGCAGTAGCCATCGCCATAATGAGGCATATAGGGTACCCGATGGCTTGGCATGTTTCTAGGCAGCGTCTGGTATGACGTGATGCTGAGGTCAAAGAAAAAACAGAATTTGTTATGATGGAGTTAAAGCGATCTCATTCACTTGATTAACACAGACAAACTCTTCAACTGGTGTTTAGTGAAAGTCAAATAGTTTTGTACTTCTATTTACTAATTAATCAATAATAATAACACAGATGAGTAAGCAAAGAACTGCTTTTATGTCTATGTATTTTGATCAGGACTTTACCATCAGTACAACAATGTAATCATTTTTCCACTGCTTTATTATGTGATATTTATTTCTCTATTTTCCTAGACTCGTAGCAGGTTCAAAGTAGAAAGTTTATAGTCAATTAGACTTATATTTCTCAGCTTTTTGTTATTTTGATCACCAAATAAATTATAACTTGCTAGCTAACTTACTCAAAACAATGTCATGTTATGAAATAACAAATCTGCACATTTTTTTGATTTGCTTTTTAAAACTTTGGAGTTGCAAGAAAACAACACATCTAGTCTAGTTTTCTATATAGATTCAATGTGGACCCTACACTCTCAAGAACCTCCCCAGGACAAAGTAGGCCTTTCCAGAGACAACAACGGTTTCAAAAGCTCCACTTCAGCAGTGGGTTCAAAGTCAGTGCAGCTGGCAGTGGGAGAGACTCCCTGACAGATTGTGGCTAGAACGCTCACTGGTCTGTAAAAACCCAGTAGCATTTTAAAAAAAAAATGCTTGTGACTACATGGAAACTAAACATCATTCTGGAGGACATGCTTGTAATGACAAACAGAGACTGTTGAAAGAGATGAACCGAGAGTGAACAGAGAGGGGAGTGTACATGCTTATCACAGAGGACCACTACTGAAACAAGGACCAAGGCCTTGTTGTTGTTTTATACATGATTTTTAAATTCATGCTTGCCAAAAGCAGATGCGTGTCAATTTTTAAAATAAACTTAATCAAGGAGTGAGTGGAGGCAAAGAGGCAAAGCTGTGTCAAACATGAGCGCAATCCAGCCGATAATAAAATGACAGACAGATAAACATATGGAGAGACAGACACACTGACAGACGGGCAGACAGGCAAGCAGACAGACACTGTCAGGGAGCAAGTTTAATCTCAACCAATTAAAAATGGGACTTTCACAGTGGGTCAGTGGCAGGCAGTAACTCTGGCTAAAAGCTCTGCTGAGCTATTATTTATGCCCAGCTCTACTTACTGATACACTCTATAATGTAATATCAAAGTGTTAACATCATGGTGAGGAGCATGTGAATCCTCACACAGCTTTAGAAAGAAATGGGACTAAGGAGCTTTGGAAAATCCGAGTCTGCATATGTACTGTATGCGGCCACTCAGATGCTCCAGGAGAATCCCTTCTGTCTCAAGATGCAGGTGAATCAGTATTTCTAGATGATACTAAGTTTAGCCAAGTTCTGCTTCTTGTTGTCGAAGTAGGACAAAGTTTGGCCTCTTGTGCAATAACCTTAAAACAACTTGTGCCAGCATATTTTCTCCTAATTTTAGATCGCACAATGAAATAACTGAAATAATTTAAACCTGCAAAAGGTCATAAATTCAAACCAACCTCCTGGTGTCATCGTCTGGGGTGCGCCCTCTTTGTGTGCGGACCCAGTGTTCCAGTTGCTGCATAGAGCTGGTCCTGCTCAGGGTGCGCTCTGGCTCATGGGTGGGACTTTGCTGAGGAGGGGCTCCAGTCCCATCAGCTGGACATTGCTCACCAGATCCATTGACCTGGGGGCTGCGGTGTGTCCCGTCCATTTCTGTCGGAGTCTGCTGCAAGGTGAGGTTAGCCTTGACGGCCGCTGCCTGGGCTGGCTGCAGTTTGATACTGTTGATCTTGGTGAGCGGACGCTCGCGCTCCGCCCCCTCCTTCTGGAAGCCGTAGCGCTCAGCATCTCGCTGCTTCCTATCTTCTTCCGCTGTGGTGGAGGGGACTGCTGCAGTGCGCTCACGGTCCACCTCACGGTTGCGTTCATTGTTCTGAATTTCAGGCTGTGTGAGTGGCGGCTTGTGGTTGGCCACATGGTTGATCTCTTGTGGTCCACACTGCTCCACTTTTAGCCTGTCCAACCTGATGAAGACAAAGAGGAGGCCTTATGTACAATATATATAAATCTAAGACCCTGTGTTAGCTAAAGGCAATCAAGACACATAAGATCACCTCTACAGAGACGGAAAGATGATAACTACAGTAGATAAATTGCCAGCTGGGGTACTCATCTGTGTCATAGATCACCAGTAAAAGGTCTTTCAGACACTGTATCAAGTACAGATAAAATATACCGTAGACCTAATACACTAACTTTGGGAAGTCTGCTAATGGGGGCAGCTCTGAAACAAAAAGAAAGTGCAAAGAAAATGGGTGGAGGTGGACAATGTTTCTTCCAGCTGCCAGAGGAGGCCAGGCGTGTCAAAGGAAATCAGATCTCCAATAAAACGCTGCCTCTGCAGGGGCACATCACAAAGGTGCTGCTCAAGCTCTGGTAATCCATTTGCTGCTCCCTTTTTTCCTCTCTCTAGAAGGCCTATCTACAGCTCTGTGGTCCTTAGGGAGGTCTCCTGAGGTAACAGACACCACTACTCTTTGGCCTTAGACAGACTCAAGGTCACAGCTTCAAAGTTTGGCAAATTCCCCTTAGCAGCATGGCTCACTGGGTTAGCAATAAGAGGGCAGTAGGAAAGGCATCTCTTCAGAGTTTCCACTTGTATCCTTTTAAATAGCAGTACTAGTCACGTAATGTCTTCTCCAGCCTTCTGTGGCTCCACAAGCCCAGTAGAGCACACATTTAGCCCTATGAAAGATCTGTGTGCATTTACTCATAGTGTTTTGAAGACATTGTAGAAACACTTAAAGGGAGAGGTCCATATAAGGATTTGTGCTACTGAATCCTGTTTTTACACTGCCCACCAGCTTAGAATATGAAAAAATGTGCCAAAATGTAATACTGTAGATAGAATACAAGACACTTGATACGCTGGAATTAGGATAGTCGTTTAGTCTAGATAGATATTACAATGCTGTTATTCTATATAGCTTTATTACAGCATCACACTGTCTGATTTAACAGCTATTCAGTCAATTTCAGGCACTAGTGCTCTGTAATTACCAAGCACTTCACCATTATGCCCCTGCTTGCCCGTGTAAAAGGGGGGCATTAGACAGGCAGACCGCCAAATGACAGACATTTAACACAGTTCAAAAAAAGGAAGGAAAAAACCCTATCCTGTTGAGTCAGTGATCCTGATCAGCCAGCACGGCTCTGCACAACCTGCACCATGCATTCACAGTGCTTATATTACCACATGCACATGGCATTGTTGTATGCGTTATTCTGCAATAAACTTTGACAGTAAAAATAGTTACATAGCATTAAAGAGCTTCTTCAACAAACCCACAGACCAGAAATATCAAAAGAACAAAAGCTGCCAAAGAACTTAACAGGTTTAACAGAGGGATTTGTTAAGCCTGTTATTTAAGACTTTTTTTACAGTACAAATGGTAAAAAATAAATAAATAAATAATAAAATCGGGATGGAAAAATGAACCAAGGAATGCAAAGTCAATTGTATTTGTTTTGAGCTGTCCTCAAATGCCTTTTTAAAACTGTATTTTACTCCATACAAAAGCAAAACAATTACTGCAATCTCCTAACTTCAAATAAAATACAGGCCCTGTGTTAAAAGTACTGTTTTAGTGATGCTCTTACAAACCTTTTGACTGGCTCTGCATGCACAAGTGCAGCATCTGTCATGACTTTCATCCAGGACTCCATCTCTTTTGCCGTGTCAGTGCAAAAATAGTATGTCCGCATGTTGGGATGCGTCGCCTGTTTTGACAATGGACAGGATCAGGGACACAGAGAAAGTTACCTGAAAGAAAGAAGAGTTCAAGTTAACTGGGATATCTAGCACCTTAACCTTGACTGGTGAAAAATGTGCTGTGGCTATGGGAATCTGTGCCATCCACATAAATCAAACCAGAAGTCACCTGAGTTTCATGCATACTAAATTAGGGCAGTAAATCTGCCTCGATACTGTAGGACTTACCATGCAGTGTATTGTATGGCAGGCACATTGTTCCGTAGTTGCTCTGTTTGCTTGCAGCGAACAAACCAATTTATTGTTACAGCCAGACGCCGAAAGAGAAAAACAGAATGTTTAGTAAACAACCTCAATATCCTGTTTACCAGTGTCTGAAAAAAAAGAAAACTCAACTTTCTTCGGAATAATCTTGATAAATAAGGAACTTTTAATGACATGGCCATTCTGGCCACAACAAGGGACAGCGAAAGCTTAGAATGAAAAATATGCAGTCAAAAAGTCATCCCATTCCTGAGTGAATCACCGTAAACTGAAGAGATTGAACTCTGTTCTCGTGTTTCTCTCTTTAGCTCAACTTGCTCTCTTTCAGCCTGAGTCTAAGTTAGAAAAGGAGTGGGCCATGTGGTTGGAGAAACCTTGAGCAGACTCCTGGGCGTCTGTGTTTGGCTGTACTTGGCAGGTCAACTTTGTTGTCTCTTTGGGTTTATGAAGGCCCCACAGTCAAATACTGTACACACCACTGAGATCCCATTAAATATGCCTGTTGCCCTGAAACTTGGGGTTTCGGAGTAGTAGGAATATTGCAATGCTCTAGTACTCCAGCACAGACATATCACTGTTGGTAAGTGCTTTCTTCGCTTTCTTAGCATTAGTAGTGTGCAAGTAAAGCTTAAAAAATTATTTCTAAAATAAAGACAAAACATGTTCAAAGCAAAGTAAACCTTTAAGTTGATTTATATACAACAAAACACTATGGGAATGTAAGACAACCACGGCAAAAAAATGTTTTCTAACTTTCAAACTGTATACCAGTGATCAAATGTACATCTTGAAAGCTTTGTACATTCACCTCTTAACTTATCATTCTATTAGTGCTTGAAATAATACTAATGCTTTACTTTTTAGTGCTCTAAATGTAAGCAACCATAGAATGTGCGATCTCACAAAGTTTGACAGGAATTAACACATGCTCTGACCTTGAAGGCATATTTTCTGTTAATGTGATCATCCACAGACAGCATGGATATACGAAAGCTTGGTAGGAGGATGCTGCCAAGTATGCCTTCCTCCTTTTCATCTGCAGAGGAAAAACAAGTCAACACAATGCATTAGGGGCTATTTTTGTCAGTCAACTTCAAGTTGTTTATGATACTACACTAAATTCCTATGTGGAACATTCATTTGTAAACATGATAAAGGCCAGAGACAAACCAAGTGGCTTGTGAGATAAAAACTAAGAGGAGTGACTTGGTCAGATGAGCAGAGCCAAATCAGTGGAAAAGTCAATGTCCTATGTTGCTCTAATCCTCATTAAGTTAGCAGACAGTGCTCCACATTGACAATGGAGCACCCTCCATGGGGGGGATTAGATAGAGTTTTAAGTAGAGAATTGCAAACCTCCTAATTTGATATAAGCAATCCGCACTGCTTACTCAAAACAGTGTATGAAAACAAAATATATCTGGGAAGTGCTGCAATCCTGTTTCCTGCTTGGTATGGGTGCATGTTTCTGCATTGAGTGGAGATTTAAAAAGTCTCCAACACACACTGGTAGTAAGTGGGATGAATAAAGCTCATTGTGAATGGTGAGTAATATTTGGGGGAATGAGTAATACCTGGACTATGGTCAGCCTCTGGTAGTTTAGAGGTAAAACTGTCTGTCCTGGAGCTATGTTTAAAGCCCTGGTTTCAAAACTGAAGCTGGAAGGTTGGACGGATTGATCTACTCGCCAGCTTTAGCTGTACCTGCAGTCCCAGCAGACCCACAGGTCCCACATCTATTTATTCATCAAGTCGCTGTGTCTCTGCTTCTCCCTCTTACAGACACACAAACACAGTCTCTGAACACAACCTAACATTGTGGGTGATCCTAAGCGCACAATAATAGTCTGATAACTACAGCAGAGAGCAGTTGTGTCTAGTTGAGGGGCAGCACAGTTCATGACCTCTCTGCCCACTCGCTGCTGATGGATGGATTTCTCAACATGTCCGTCTGGATAAAGCTTTTGGGTCTGCTGCTGTCTGTGGCTTTTGTCAGGCAGTGGGCGGAAAGAAGGCGACAGGACTGGCAGACACCAGAAATAACACAGACTAGATGTCATGCTGATCAGCAGAAATGGTGACTGTATCCGCATCAAGTGAGCAGGGGACACTGGGATATGTGGACGTGTGCCAAGAAAATACTTTTTATTTTCTCCGTAGTTGCAGCCTAACAGTAGATCTGCTCTACATTTACCTTACAGCCTCAATGATTCACAGTATTCATTTAATTTTTTTCCAATAGAAGCTTTCAGACATTCTCTGGACACAGCTGGGTCAATATTTCATATGAACATTAGTACTGCGTGAGAGAGGCTGAAATGCCCAGTCAATAGCAGCTCAGTCAATAGCATCTAATACTAGGTTTATAAGGAGAGTGAGATTTTAATAATTGAATGGAAAACCTTTAAACTGGACCGGGACTCCCACAATTTCATGGAAAAAGATGGCTAAGATTAAGACTGATGATTACAGAACCATGTAAATCCCACACTTATTCAAAAGAATGATCACTGTCAAAATATAATAGTGGTCCCTCTAATGGAGAATTATAAGAAGATCTTTCAATATTAACAAAATACATTTTGTTTACTGCCACTGAATCCAAGATTTACGCTAGTATGCAACCACTATATAAAAACAGTAATCTCTGGAAATTGTTCATAACTGAACATTAGTGTGAAATCCAATTTCCTGCTATGCTTTCTCTTTCAACATTATGGATGCATCCAAGCCTTGGTTAAAGCCCTGGCTTTGCTTGGGGAAAAAATGACCTCTCAAATGGCAAATGAGAAAACAGGAGAGCCATTTCAATTAATACGTCTCCTCAGTTGGTCCTGACAGGCTGCTTACCACAGGGACTTGGATCCAGATGTATTAACAATTGCCAAAAGCGTGGCTTATGGCTCTGAAGGTCACAACAGCACTTTGAACTACTAATCGAAAACCACTATTGTTGTAATCAGTTTAATACTAATGAAACATGTTGGCAGCTGAGAGCACAGGGCTTACCTCTGTAGTAGAAGAGACACAGGTCAGACAGCACAAACCACCTCTTCTTCCACAACTTCATCCCTGTACTGTCCTGAAAAGACACCAGAGGGAACAGGGATCAGTTACTCCACAAACTAGCTTGAATGGATTGAAATGACAAAGAAAAGGAAATTGCTGTTGTTGTCCACTTGCCTCCTTCGATATAATTAGTTGATTTCCTTCCATGTGATTAACTGTTAATGTTTGTACTGCAAAATTTCAGGTACTTAAATTTGACATATTCTTGGCCTCCCATGAAGTAAGGGAATTGTATTTTATTCAGGGGAAACGCAGTTTCAGTTATGGAATAAACATGATAGTATGCATATATCATTTCAACCAAGTAAATAGCTTTCACTTTTAAAAATAAGTACGTTGTTCAGTGGGGAACAAAAATAAATCTCTTTTGCTTAAGTTCGTTTATGGTATCGCAATGCTGTGATCAAAGGGGGGTTTCAGGCTGCTGCTTAAAAGGGATGAAGGGTGAGGAAAAGGGTATTAACTCCCCCGTTCGTTTTATGGGAAAACTTGAGCAGAGTCCTTAATCGTGGATTCCACCCGGAGACAAAAGTAGGGGGAGGGACCTCAACAACTCTGTCATTATGGTCAAACAGCATGTGGGCTGCAGTTTACTTTAAATGGAAATTCACTTCCATGAACCAGCATGTTTAACACATTAGTATCAAAAAGTCACAATACCAGATGCTGCTCAATATGCTCATAATAGAGGCATATCAGATATGTAGCAAAAATTATACTTTAACTGCTTGTGTCCATTAATTCATCAACTTCTCTCCATTCAATCAAGGTCTTAACTATCATCATTTTACAGTGTGTCCATGAATAAACTTTATCAAAAGTTGCGTCAGATCTTGCCCTGTTCAGGCGGGAAGAGAAAAACGAGGCTTTCACCATCACATCAATCACTGTGGCATTTTGTTCTCCCAATGGATCAACTGAAGGGCTGCAGCTTTTCCTCAGCCAAGGACCTCAATAGCTTCCAGGTTTCAATGAGGCAGGGAAATAAAAGTGCAAATCCAGCTTTTATTTAGGGTAGCAGATTTGTGAGTCTTTGCTTGATCTACGTCACCCTGATTGAGGTCCCCAAAGAAATAGCAGCTGGCAGCTGTACCAAAGGAGGCAATCACATGTTCACAAAGCTGCACTGGGAGGCTGCAATCAAAACTAAATGAGTGTCCCACTTAAGAAGCATGAGAGAGTCCTGTCTGGCCAAGAGCTGCCTCAAGCACCCCCTTTTCACCCTCCTGTAAGTAACCAGGGAGCTGTGATGAGGGATTGGTATTTAAACACTGCCCGCGCTGGATGACTGGCTGAGCAGAAACACTGGACAAAGAAATGCTCAGATCCTGTAAGACATCAAAAAGCTTCCATTGTGCTCATCTTAAGACTGTTGCTGAAAATCCTACAAGGAGAGGGAGACCCTAACTTTGTTCTATGTGTAAGAAGGAGAAAGGTTATATAAAAATAAAGTTTGCATTCACAAAATGAAAATTTTTAATTATTTCAAAATATCCTCTTTTTTTTAATCAATTATATATATTATACATTTATCAAAAAGCAAAGACTAAACAAATATAAGTAAACACTTAAAACATGTGTTTCCATGCACTGATTTCTTTGTGGTGGCCCACCATAAGTCAACATTGACCGCCATATACTGATTTAAAATTATAATGATATAGTTATTGTAGACGCATACGTATGAAACTGCCTGACATCACCTTAAATGCATTAACCCCCTTCACTTTTCCAGCAGCTGGGAAACAACACACCAGAGCTTTACTTTGCAGCAATTACAGCTAAATACAAACGTCAGCATACTAATAGGCTTACAATGACAATGCTTACATGCTCATGTTTTGCAGGTATGCCAAATTACCTACTCTGCTTCTCAGTATAGTACATGATTTATAAGACTAAATGTGAAGTTTTACTTATATAATCTTGCTCACCTGTTTATAAAGCCAGTTTCTCTTGATTACCGGTGCACTGGGATTCCTCCTGATGGAGTTGGATCTCTTCCCAAAGTTATGAATTTTTTTGGAAGGTCTTGATGGCTAGAAATACAGTATGAATGAGTAAATATTTTCGTGAGGAGACATTTCTCAAACTTTTCAAGACATTAAGCTATGATCTTGTTGGTTTTCCATAGTTTTTTCCCCAACTTAACAGAAATGCATGATAACAAAGCTTTCAAGTGTTTCACTTACTCTTCCTGCTGGGCTACTGGGGTTTGCGGCGTAGTCCGAGCCGCCTGTGTAGTTGGAGGCCTCACTCATGGTACTTAGTGGCCGTTCCTTCTTATCATTCGCCGGCACTTTAGAGGCAGATCTAAACAAAAGACACAGAGCATGCCAAGAGCAGACAGGCAAATCATCAGTATGTTGATTTCTGCCTAATGGCTGAAGGAGAATAGGACGAAGCAGACTTTATTGTCTGTTCCCCGATCATTCCTCTGAAGTTCAAACTTTTTTATAATGAGATCTCAACATGGGCCTATGAATCAAGCCAATTACTCCCACCATGTCACTGCAGATACATTTCCAGTCCTCTAACAGCTTTAAATGGTCTGCAAAGTCTGCCTGACATACTAAATTGCAGCAGTGAATCAGGTCAGGATGCTTCTAAAACAAATGTTTCAACAGCAAAAGTTGAAAGTATTGTAAGTTCAATACATTTGCCATAGGATAAAACACCTTGTGAAACAAGTTGTCTCTGGCCCATGGAGATGTCCTACATTCTTTAGGAAGCAGACAACATTGTAGTCTAGAGGGAGCAAGACAGGAAAACCAGAGTAGAGCAGAAATACTGCAGCAGTGAAACAAGTGTAATC